ACAGTATAGGAGGTGTAAATGAAGTGTCTGTCTGTATTTAGCATAGAGGGAAAGTGTGTGAAGCTGTATTTGAACTCTTTTTTATTGTATTTAATTATTGATGAATGCATTTATTAAAGATTTTCATTTAAGCTGGGCAGAGCCACCCAGTTCAAACAGTAAACAGCATAGATTTTAACTGGCAGGAATTATATGAAGTATGTTCTTATTGTGAATATGTTGTTTTTTGTTTTTAATAAAAAAGAATGCTAACGTGGAAAAGTCAGACATTGTCTACATTGTTTTGCTCTACTTGAACTTACAGAATGCATTTTTTAGGCATTTGTCTTCCTGTAAGCATTCCAAAAATTCAACTGTACCACTAGCTGGGATTCTACACTGTTGCTTTGCTGCCACTGTTGCTTTTTTTCTGTTCCATCCAGTTTAATGGCATTCATGGAATGTACTTGGCAGGTTATCAGGTCAGCCATCACGTCGCTGATTGGTTTGCTGTGAGTGTAAAACCAGTATTTGCTGGAGTCGGTGTTGTTTGCATTGTAAATTTGGGGTTTACACCTGCTTGTTTACATGCTCAGCAGACAGCATAGTATAAGGGCCAATATGAGTAACTAATTTGTTTGTGTGTACCCCTAAAGTTTCTGCAGATTTCCTTTAATTGACTTACATCTTGGCAATAACATGCACTGCATTTTGTACAGTTTCTATATGATCCAAAAAAAATCTTTGATAACCGTCTATGTTAATGATGCTGGAGTAAACATGCCTTGAATCCATAGTTCTGTTTGTAAGGTCTCCTGTTCACATAAACAATGTTAATATACAGTTTATATATTCATTTGTAGACCCTTTTAAGCTGAAACAAAGCGCTTTTCTTTTGCTGCCTTCAGTGAGCAGTTGGTCTGAATGCAAATATAGCAGTTATAAGGAAAGCTGTTTTAACTTAAATGGTGCAGAAAAGAACTTTAATGGCCATTACGTGGTGGATTCTGTTTGTGCTGTGTAAAGCAGTTCTGTCTTTAAATGTATTTCAAATTGTGATCAATGACACTGAGAGCTTCTTCCAGCGTTGTTTTCAGTCATTTAAATAAGTTGAAAATCAACACCTGAGCTTGCGTGTGTCAAAGCAGTAAGTACGACACAGCCATTGTTACCTTACCGCACCAGAGTTTAACCAGCGGCCAGAGTTTAGTTTCTCCTCATTTCCAAAACCTGCACCTCCTTTTTCTGCCTCTGAATGGTCCCGTGCTCTAGCTGGGCGCCCCGTTCCATGTGTCTTACTCAGACAGACTAAGGAGCCCTTATCCAGCAGCCTAATAATGCAGTCAGTGTGAGGCAGGGAATTAAACGCTTCCTGTGTCTCTTTATGGCCCTAGTTGACTCACTGCATTCCTCCTAAGGTTAATTTTTGACAGAGGAGAGGTGGGGAGCCAAGGATTCACAGAGGTGCTCTCTCCTCTATCTCTGGCACTGCAGGGTGTCCAGGGCCAGGGTTTGTTGTGGGCAAGAAAGGTAAAGGGAATTACTTTTTATTGTAACACACCACACCACTGCACATAACAACACCTGACCTTTTTTCAGGGTTTTTTTTTATGTTACGAAACATAGTTTAAGCATAGTTACTTTCCCTAATTCCCCCAGATATACATTTTTGATGTCAGTATACTGCACCTTTGGGGGGGCTAGATAAACAACTTTCAGACAAGTATTTTGCTTCTCACAGTCCATTGTTTTGAGTCTCTGAAGATGAAGTTGAAATATGTAGTTTTTGAAGCATGCTTCATGTAAAGCAGGTGACAGATAAAGCTCATCTTAGTCTTCTTTGCAGTATAACAAGATAATGTGATCTCCCATTCTGGATCTCCTATTTTATTTATGTCAGCATTTTTATGTCCAATGGGTACTACTGTCACGTCTTAGCCAATATGCTGTATGTGTTTCTCCAGGTACTATTTAGCAAACTTCTATGTGGTTTAAAGGTGTTTTCCCCGCAAGTGTTTTTTTTTTTTTTTTTTGGTCTGCTTACAATTTCTCACATGTCAGTCATTTGCAATTTTGCACTTATTCCAGGGTCGTATCCCATAGCATGTCATGGCAATGTCACAATCATTTTTGTCTAGATTTACTGTAACAATTATTTTAAACTTCATACTTTATTGGATCTTTGGAACACTGGGAACTTTTTGTGAGCATCTTTTTTTTTCATCAGCCAACACATTTTTTTTTTAAATTTTTGCCATAATATTTTACCAAATGACCACCTGGTATAGACTGACTCGAAGTCAGGCAACATGTGAGGATTTATGTTCACAATCTTGGTCATTTCTTTTGTTTGTTCTCTTGTTGATAATTCCTAATAATTTCCCAACACATGGGATGACTTGTGTTGAGGATAAATATCACATAAGTCTGCAGGCATTGAGATTGATGTCTTAGCCTAGTTTTTTAGATCCATGTCTCAGAGTAGGACCTTAAGATTAGAATCCTGTATGGTAATCCCTAGAAGGATCTAAATCTGGGATAGTCGTAGTGATGATATAATCATGCCACTTTTGTTAAAGTGTTTATAAAGCTGACACTCATTCATACAGCTATGACATATATATATATACATACATATATATATATACATACATATATATATATACATACATATATATATATACATACATATATATATACATACATATATATATACATACATATATATATACATATATATATACATATATATATATACATATATATATACATATATATATATACATACATATATATATACATACATATATATATATACATATATATATACATACATATATATATACATACATATATATATACATATATATATATACATACATATATATATATACATACATATATATATATACATATCAGAAATTGCTCATCCCTGCTCTCTCTGTGCCTGTCCAAGTAGAAAATAACCCTGCTTCAATCCAGAAAGGACTACACCACATTTTCTGCTGTCACATAAGTCTTTTATTAACTCTTCTTCCTTCGACCTTGTTGACGTATTATTTATCGCTTCCCCAGATCTGTGTTTCTGTACGTGAGCATTTATTTTTAATGCACCAGGGGCCTATTTTTGGTGAGGTCTAACCTGTTTGGGTTTTGGCCTTGTGATGGCTGTTCTATGCTGTGGAGAGGTGGCAAGCATAATAAATGCTGTTAACATTCCTGTCAATCCTGAATGCATTAGTATAGATCCAGCTCATGTCAGATGCACATTAACCAGGATGTAGATTGGCCATGTTTAGATCTATTAGATAAATTGATGCATAGGCTGTGCTGATCTTCCTCAGCATCCATAGTTGGAATCACTATTGACTACTGGTCTTTGAACAATGCCAGCTAACTTTGCTAAACCAGTACTGAGATAGGTGAGAGCCCTGGAGCTGTGGCACTCAGGTTGCTAATTTCCTCTGCAGAGAAATGTAGACGGTATGAAATTCTGTTACTAAAGTACAGTCGTGACTCATTGTTGCAGGCAACTACAGCAGCTCCACTCAGCAACGATGTGAAACTGTGAAGCAGCCCACTCAAACTCACACCCTCCTTTGCATGTTGAGTGAAAGGCAGGGATTTAATTCAATAGTCTTTCCTATTTGAGACAGGACTCATGGTTTTAGAGCATCCCAGGAGAATTGTTGTTTTTGAGGTTTGATGTTTGTAGTGCTTTTGTCTTCAGTAAAGCAGCTATATTTAGGTGCGACTGACTCTTAGGTTTGTCTTTAGTGTTACGTGTTTGTATTTCTTGACATGTTTCAGCGCAGCTTTAAAACACACACACACACAAATAATATAGCACGTAAATAAGCATGAACTACCTTGAACTTATAATTGTTTTTTTTTATTATTCTCTATTTATTCCAGTTAATAAAAGCATAATATTTGAATCCAAGTGCAACTCCATGTTGTTTCTGTTCTGTTCTGGTCCATGCATGCTGCAGTACTACTGCCCATCACACACTTATCCACATGATGGCATGATTTTGTTTGTGTGCAGAAAAGTGAGCACATAATTTTTTTTCCTGCTTTCACTGTGTGCTTTAGTGCATTAAAAAAAATCAAGTCTTATGTTTGTTTAACTATTTGAATGCAAATTAACGTCACTTGAAATAATGAGTGTTAAACCTATTTAAACTGAATATTAGTTTAAAATGTAATGATTCTCCGGTTGGAGTTTGTTTGTGAATCTACTACAAATCATTGCATGATTAATTTGTTCTAATTTTTAAGTCTAATCCATATCATGTATTAGATCAAATAGCCAAAATCTGTTCCAATCTGATACTTAAGATTCAGATCAGCTAATTTGTTACTAATTTCATCTTGGTGCTTTCCCTAAGATAATTACCAAGTGTGGCAGGTTGAAGTGCAGGGAAATGCTTGACAGGAAAACAATGGCTCTGCACAGTTAAAGGTTCAAATGTTGTCAAAATCAGTATCTGAATGTTTAGGTATTGAAAAAGAATCTGTTTTTACCGCTGTGTAAGGTACCAACTCTTTGTCAGATCAACACATTGATGTGAGGTTAACGTATATATTTTCTGTACGCAGCATCTTTACTGGACTTTACACTGTGACCTTGTCTGTGCTGGTTTGATTTTTGTGTGTGTATGTGTGGGTGGGGTACAGGGTGTCCTCAGCAGTGTCATGTAATGAAGTGCTGACTCAGACTGAGTGTGTCAACAGCTGCTGCCTGTTACTGAAGTCAGAGAGTTGTGTTGAAGGCAGGGGCAGTTGATGTGTGGGAGAGTGAGTAGGTTGATTAAAATAGAACAGTAATATTTGTTTTTTTCATTTCCCATCATTTTTTACTGTTTCAGTCAAAACAGAAGTACTCATTCTCAATATACTCTCCTGGAACTGAAGTCTTTGTTCCTCGTCAGTTCAAATCTGAACCAACGGATAAAAATATTGACTCTATTTAAAAACAACCATCACTGTGACCTGACGTTGTATTTTTGTGTTGGCAGGCCCAGATTGCCTTCCTTCAGGGGGAGAGGAAAGGCCAGGAGAACCTAAAGAAAGATCTTGTGAGGAGGATCAAAATGCTCGAGTATGCGCTGAAGCAAGAGAGGTGAGTTCCGGTACTGCCCACAGCTGCCAAAGCCCACCCACAGTAGACAGAAATACTTCAGCTCTTCTGGGGTGATTTAATGTTTTCATGCTCCCAAAATAAAAACCTATGAAAAGGGAAATATAGAAAAGGAGAGTCCTTCAGACTCCATGTCAAAAATAACTCTCTCCTAAAAGACTGTTTTTGTTAAGTAACAAGTCCTTTGGTAAGTTAACAGAATTTCTAGCTCATCCTCATTCATATTCTATGTAAGCAGCCCTGTTGGCTCAGCTGGTGTTAGCAGACACAGTAAGGGAGTGAAAGTGCCAGAGAGATTCTCTCAGGTCCAGCTCGTGTGAAGTCTCTAGAGGAGAGTAACTATTGGCAGGAAGTTTTATTTATATTTAAATGTATCATATATGTATATGTATATGTGTGTATATATATATATATATATATATATGTGTATATGTGTGTATATATATATATGTATATGTATATGTGTGTATATATATATATATATATATATGTATATGTGTGTATATATATATGTATATGTGTGTGTGTCTGTGTGTATATATGTGTGTGTGTGAAAAGAGAGTGCGGAACCCTCTCTCTTACTAAGTCTATGTCAGTGTCACAGCCTGTTGTCATCAGCAAACCAGAAGAATGACATTGTTTCTCTTCTCCTGTTCAGTAGCCCGTAACCGTCGCACATAAGCCTTTCATGGTAGCTGTAGTGATACTTGGCTTTCACCTTCTTAAAAGCACAGCTGAACCTGAGAACAGAGAGCTTTCAGTGGCTTTATCTTTTTCTATAGCCGCCTCTCTTCATGTGAATTTTAATCATTAGGGATATGTTTACATGGTCTGGATGAGGTTAGAGATATTTTAGGTGTTTGTCTTCCATGCTCTTCATGTATTTTTTTGTTAAAATCCCCTTGATTGGCCTGAAGGAGTTAACAAGAAATGGAATTTCTTCTTGGCTTGGTTTTAATGATAACTCTGTTTAGCTCAGCACTCCTCACTGTCTCCTCCCTCTCTTTAACTGCTCTGTGGCCAACAGTGAAACATTTTTGTTGTATTAGGCAACTATAACATTGGAATGTGTGGAATTCTGTAAATGCAAAATGCAAACCCTGCTTAAAGCTATGCAGGGAATCTCCAAAGTCAAGTAAAGTAAAAGTTAAGAATGGACATTTTATTAAACCAGCGCTTCACAGAAATAGAAATGTGGGAATAGAAATTCAGGCTATGAGCTGGAGGATTGTCTGACTAATGAGAGCAGAGCAGAACAGAAGAGTCGTCACTGCGTGTTCTATCCCTCCTCCTCCAGTCTACTCCAGGGTTGGTGTTCCCTGAGAGGAACGCCGTCATTAGTATGAACTCGTCCTGATGCTCACAGTGTATATTTATCTGCTTTTCTCCTCTGAGATCACCACATGCTCTGTCTCGGAGGCAGCACCTAACCCAGGATTACTGCCACTTTGCCCAGTTGCTAGGCAACAGGTCATGTTTCCAAGGGTATCTGAAAACCAATATCAGAAATGGCCCTTTGAATGTGGGATGTACTTTAATTTGAAATAAATTTGATTTTAGTGGTGGTTGCTTCCTCTCAGTCCTGGGGGCAAGCTGTGGTCAAGAGTGGTAAAATAAAGTGTAGTGAAGCTCTCCTGGTCTCTTGCAAATAGATCTATGTGCAGACAACTATTTTAAAAAAACTACACTAAATAAAAAATAAAAATACTAGCTGATAACATTGCTTGAGTTGTGTATTAATCCTTTTTGATGTTCTGAAAAATATATATATACATATGTGTGTATACATACATAAATACATAGTATCAGTATAGTTTAGTATCAGGGCGAGGCCTGCAGTGAGAAGATGCAACATCAAATTAAACGTTTTAAAGGTTTGAGGCAGCAGTTAAGCCAGTGTTGTTACAGGTCTGGGCATCATGTCGTCCACGCAGTGCCTTTTGGGAAGCTCTTTCTAGGTAACGGGTTCATCTTTCACCAAATAGTAACAATCATCTGATGGGCCCTGCGAAAAACTGAGAAACGGTGGGCTCATACATCTGTTTTAGAAATCTGACCATAGGTTTTGAAATATTATTCAGAGGGTTGACAATGTATTGCATATGATTTACAGTAGTGGGGGGGAAATGCAGAAAATCTTGTCTTTTTGTGATCACTGTCCTGAGAGATTATAACAACGTGTCTCTGAGCCAACTTTGCTCATCTGTCTGCCCTCTTTTTCTTGTGTATGTTTACTTCCAGAGCAAAGTATCACAAGTTAAAATATGGGACAGAGTTAAATCAAGGTGACATGAAGCCTCCCAGCTATGATTCCGGTAAGTCCACTGAGGCCCATGCAGTGTTCACACTTCACCTCTTCACACCAAATCACTGCTGAGATCTCATACCATGAGTGACATGACCGTTTGAAATGTTTTTGACACATTTTCTCACATTTCTCACAGTTTTAAAATATAAACACACCTATTTAAACATCTCAGTTGTATTTATTTTCTTTGCTCGGCTCTTTTCTCATCTTGTCTTCTTATTTATCCTTTCTAAGCCTAAGAGTACATACAAGTCAGAGTCGAATCTTTTGTATCTTCTTTCATACTGAGCCAACGAAACCGACTCTGATCTCAAGACTTTAAACTATGTGTTTGAAAAAAACAAAACAAATTGGAACAAAGATATTTGACTTTACCTGACATTTATTGCATTAAACCTGGTTAGACGTGCAATAGATATTAACGGGTGCTGTATTTTTTAATGTGTATTTACCCAATTACGTCTCAATTCCTCTGCCATTAAGTGCGATTACATTATTTCCTCTCCTCTCTTCTCATCTCTATTCATGATGGCTCTTCAAAGCATTTGAGCCCTTGAAGTGTTGATGACAGAGAGGAGTGAAGGTGAGGGAGAGAGAGGTGTTAAGTGGAGGATAAGGAAGAGGAGTGGGAGGTGTTGCAGGCATGGTGGTACACCTGCCCACTCCTCACCCCTCTTAACGAGGCATAACCCATTTTTGATTCACCCTCTATTGCCTGCCTTACCAAACAGCAACCCCACAACACACACAAGCACAGACACACACTCACTCACACCCCATGTAAATCTTAATAACACATCCCTGTGCTTCATGCTGAAATACCAGCTGACTCCATAAACAGGCGATGAGGTTGTTGAAAATCGATGAGCGCTTTTAATTCCGTTTGTCTACGCTTCTGACAAAACAGTCATAAAGACTGTGTCTCATTGTGAATGATGCTGCAGGCACTGATACACTTAGTTGCCTTTTCAAGCATGCCCTGAGACACTGGTAAAGAAGAAAGCAGCCATTTTGAAAGAGTCAGAGGAGCATCAAAGTCCTGTTCTGGCAAAGAGTTTGAGTAACATCATGAGTAACAGTAATAGAACAGTTTAAGGACGCACACAGTGACCTCACGTTTAACCCTAACTGTTTGTCAACTCACTGATGGCAACAAAGCGCTGGATATGTGGAGTTGCCAGGATGCTGTGATGCAGGAATGTTCTGATTGTGTTTGCCGAGTGGAAGTAATGTCAGTGCCTGTGGTGTTTGCGAAGTCCTGATTTGTGTCTTCTCTTCCAGATGAGGCAAACGAGAATGAAACTTCTGGGTCATTCAACAATCAGCTGTCCTGGAAACAAGGCCGCCAGCTCCTCAGACAGTATGTGGACTTGTTTTTGTCATTTTAAAATCCTTCCTCGAGACTTTTTATCACAAGCAAAACAACATTGCATTGAAAAGAAGTGTAGTTAAATATGGGACACAGTTGATACTTTGTGACAGTTGACTGCATTGAAGCTCAGTGTTTTCTATGTAAGGTGCAGTTGTGGAATGGGGAGTGTTGTTGTTTTGTCCTTATGCCGGAAGCTGGAGTTGTCACGGTGCCAAGTAGATGTCTGAGGAAAAGGGAGAGTCGAGTGGTGGGACAGACAAAGGCGATGTTGTGTTACTTGTCACGCCCCTGATTCCTAAACTCTGACATGGTATCTGTGACCACACATTGTGGCAGAAGTATGCTTGTTTGTTTTGGTGTAGTGTAAACATGAAAATGTAGCCAAATCAGCTCAATTTCTTTATAGAAATCCAGTGGAGTCTTTGTACAAAAGGCGTCACTGTTACTTGTATCAGACTGTCTGGTTTTGAAAGCAGTGTCAGTTGTGTGGTGAGGTAAAAAATTACACCGTGGAAAAGAGCTCCCTCACTTGGTCAGCAGCTGTAACTGTATACTGTTTTTGTGTCCTCTTCTGTAACTGTTGGACTCTATAAGCATGTTAATCATCTTCTTACTCTGCAGTCAGTCTGTGTAAATAAACCTGGCTCCAGTCCTTTGCTTCAGACACCATAAGGCAGCCTCACATGTCATCTGCCCCAACATGTTGCTGAATTTATTCATGACTGTGTGTCAGGGGACGGATCAATAACGTGCAAAGACACTCCTCCCCTCCCCTTCGGTCAGACCTCAACACAGATTGCTAAAGCTTATTCTCAAACCCCACAGGGTTGGTTTAATATTTCATGACTAGCATATTTGGCCTCAGCAGAGCTGATACTGTTAACTAGACCTCTGCCTGAGGATACTCCACTTTTTACAGTAACCAGTTTCCATTTGTTTTTTTGAAAAAAATAAAGTCAATCTGGTCTGAACTTGTCTGCATTGTTCCAGGTACTTACAGGAAGTGGGCTACACAGACACCATATTGGACGTGAAGTCTCAGCGGGTCAGAGCGCTGCTAGGTCTAGCTGGAGATGGAGGTGGAAGGACAGGTGAAAGAACCAACACTGAGCCTCTGGTCAATGGGTCAGACACCAAGAACATGGGCACCAAAGGGTGAGTGTGCATCTTTGGAGGATCTGATACAGAACCGTGAAAATCTCCACACTTCGGTTTGAGTTACTAGTAGGAAACAAGTTTTAAAGCCATTGTAAAAGAAACAGTTAATAGTGCTTTACAAATACAAATTATAATTGTTAATATAATTTAGAAAATGCTTAATGAGCCGGGAAAAAAGTATTATAATCATTATTTGTTTTTATTACTGCCACAAAACCAGCTTTGATTCACATGGTTACACTTGAGATTTGTAGGATTATAATGAGGTCTTGTCAAACCACACAGGTGCTAATGATACTCACTACAGGGTAAAACACAGTCACTAATGAAATGTTTGGCAATAACAGCCCTCAGTTAGTCAACACGTATTTATTTTCCACATATGGTTCATTATTAGGTACAGTCACTACAGACGATGTCAATTTAAAAAAAGCAGATTTATTTATTTATAAGGAGCACCATTGTTCTTCAACAGGAAGGCTGAGCTGTCTGACACCAGTGCTGTGTTGGAGGCCTTCAAGTTTATTGAGAATGCAGCAGCTGAATTCAGTGATGAAGACGAGGAGGATGACAGTGAGGGGAAGGACAGGACTCATGTTGAATCTAGAACGGTAAACAAAAGCAGTCTTTCATCTCTTGGAGCACGCACACAGACACACAATGAAGCAGAAATCATACATGTATTATTTAATACAACCCTGGAGTTTTTTTCCCCTCAGATTCTAAGAAAGAAACCCGCATCATCTACATCACCAGCCAGTATGGACACCACTGAAGACCCTGATACGGAGGAAGCATTGAAGGGCTTTGACTTCCTGTCCAGCACTGACGAGATGGACACCTCACCAGAGTCCAGAGGCACGGGGGATGGTACAGACTGGGGTGAGTAGAAGGACTGTTCAAAACAGATGATGATTGATTAGAAAAAATAATTGAAAGATTGAAAGACAATAGGAGTCAATAAAATTCTAGATTACATTTCTAAATATAGTATATGGTTAAGCTGCTGCTCTTTAAAACTAATGTACCGGTCACAACCCTCACGTAGTATGTAATCTCAGTAATAATAATAGTTTCAAGAGCCAGGTGGTTTCTTCTAACAGCATAATTCTGCCTGTGAAGTTCAACAGCACTTCACATGTATGTAATTCTTCTACAGGTAGTGCTAATTAGTCCTCACACAGGGACATTTTCTTTTAGCAGAGCTCTGTTGCCCTAGCTCTACGGTGAAGGGCACCTAAAGGGGCACTTCACACTGTTGAAGAATTGTTAATCACAATGTGATGATTTTTTCATGCAAATATTTTTTATGCTTACCAACAATCTCATTTCCTTAACGGGGAATATTTGGCTTCTAAAAATAGTCCAAATATCTCTACTCAGTTCTTCATCCCTGCAGTTGAAACTCATGGAATTCCTGGTACTTTCCTAATTCCTGGAGCTAAAGCAAATCCTTTGGCATTATGTGTGAACAATTTGGTTCTTACCACAGACATGTACTATTTTGTGGAATATTGCATCTTTTTGGTCTATATCTAGGGTTACGACTGATCAACATTATCATATAAATGGTATGTTATGTACAATGTTCTTATTTTGTTAGATTGCAAATAGATTTAATTTTTTTTATTTTGGTACATGCTGACTGTATTATTATTCTGTCTTAGTTTGAACAGTGTTCATGAAGTACTTGTCATTCATATACCATGCTGTGGTCATAAATCATGATGTTTGGAGTTTCTTTGTTTAACCCATAGTGTGTGATCTCCTCCACTGTGTTCTCATAGCGATCCTGTGACCACAATGTGTCTCCACTCCTGTGTCGTCAAATCAGCTCAACTCCCTCTAAATGTCTTTGAACTAAGCAGAGAAACTGCATTTTAACTCGATTTGAACATCTTGAGTATCTCTGCACTTTAAACGTGGTTTAAAATCACAGGATTTTATGTGTTTAATGACTCAAAATCCACATGTGCAAATGAAAGATTTTACTAAACGAGCTATCACCTTGTTTTGGAATTGGAGAGAAAACTTTTGAACAAATAAAAAATTATGTCTGTTGATACTTCTTTTGTTAAAATAGATTTTAAGAAATTGTTTGGCTCAAGTCACCATGAGCTCAGATTTCTCCTCGAGGCTTGAGAAACCTCTGGGAGAAGTAACAGTTTAGGAGAGGTCTTCACCCAGCTCGGCCCCTCAGTCCGCGGGCAGTTGCTCAAAAGCCTCTCGGTCTGGTTTTGTTCCCCCACTATAGAGAAGGACGAGCAAGGTCCCATTTCTGAGGCCTGGGACGTGGACCCGGGCCTGATTACCAAACTCAAGGAGCAGTACAGAAAGGAGCGCAAGGGGAAAAAGGGGGTGAAGAGTAAGTCCTGTCAGGCAGTGCCTGCCTCCCTCCCCTCCTCTTCCTCCTCTCTTTGAGTCTAAAGTTCAGCCATAAGGCTTCAAATCAAAACCAGAACATCTTCGCTGGTTCTTCTCCTGCTGCTCCTTGTCATGCATCTGTCTGTCATGTCAGTCTCACCTGTCTCCATCAGCGTTGTGCTCGATGCATGTTCTGTTTTCCCTTTTAAATGTTTTTCATTTTTATTTTTATTTGCTTCACCTTGCCTCCACTGTCAAGCATTAAAAAAACTATCTCTTCCAGTCATAACAGCAGAGTGATCTTCATCTCCATGTGTCATCCATGGTGATGCTTTAGCTCTGAGTACTTTACTGCTCTTGTGTTAATGGATAATAAAGCTTCTTAAGCTCTGAGTCACTGCTGTTTGTCTTTCTGTAACTGTGGTGTGATGTTTCACTCTGTCAACTACTTAAACCTCGCTTTCTTCTATCGCTTCACATTTTCCATCGTGGACACATTATCACTATTGTGGGTGAGTGAGGAGGAGCCCAAAAATTAGCCTATTGTTTTGAACTTATTTCTCTATATTAGAACCGCCCATTTGTTTATGCTTAACTTTATTAATATTAATAATTGTTTATTAAATAACTTGTTGAACAACTTAGTCCACACAGCCCACACTAAGAGATAACTGTTATCTTTTAGTCCACCTGACGGAGTCACTGCTGCAGACCTTTATTTGCTCTTCTTTAATATTCTCATCATTTATTAATGTTCTTTTTTCCATTCAGCGCTGTTTTCTTCCCACATTCACTTTGTTTGTATCCTTTTTTTCAGCCTGTTCTCAGTTGTTTCTTTGTTTTTCTGTCTGTTTCTCTCCTCCACTTCTCTCTTTGTCACTCTGTGAATTAACCCTGTTGTTTTACTTTACCTGTCACACAGGGCCAAACCGGTCCAAACTGCAGGACATGCTCGCCAACCTGCGAGATGCAGAAGACTTGTCTCACATGCAGCCTCCGTCCACCCCACAAAGCCGGCCCAACACCACCCGCTTCAATGAGCACGAGGGGAACCGAGCAGACGAAGGTGCTCAAGTCAAAATACCAGTACAAACACTGGCTGCTACTATCACATCCTTTTATCATTAGTATTTGCCATATAATTATTTGTTTTTCCTCATCAGTTGAGGCAATGACCTTCCCACCAACCTCTGGGAAGTCATTTATCATGGGCACAGATGAGGCCATGGAGAGTGAGCTGGGCCTGGGAGAACTGGCTGGACTTACTGTGGCCAACGAGGCAGATAGTCTGGCATATGATGTAAGTGGGACAATGGGCCGCATCGTGATTTTTGACTTTTTTCTTAAAAATGTTTTTGTTCATGTCATGTTTACATAAGCGATGAGGTAACACTAGTTACGTTTGATTGGAAAGAAGCAAGGCATAAGCTAGTGTTCTATCACTGAATAGGTTACAAGTGTATTTGGCCCACATTAAATCTTACTAAAATAGTTCTATAGATGACAAACTCCAAAATCACAACAGAGGCAATTTGTGGCAGCTTGTGTCAGTTGCAGACTCACACTGTAAATTTCCCCATTGTGAGACAAATAAAAAACCAAATTATTATTGTTTCTGCATTTTCCATTTCTGGAAACTTAATTATTTGATTATTTGTGCAATAATTTGATTTAATTAAGATCATATTTGGTCAATCTGTGCACCATTTGGTCAGAGATTTTTTGTAAAATATATTATTATTAATTCTGTCATTTTTGGACTTTTTCCATATAAATATGTGAAGACTTTCACTGTGTAACATTATGGACAAAATAATCTTATTTACTGTGAAATACTAATATTCCATCCAGCATTTTACCAGCTAACTTCATATTCACACCAGATATATCCCTATGACTGTTGTTAGCAGAATCAGCCTTAACACTCAGAACTTACACTCTTTTCAGATTGGTAACAACAAGGATGCCATGAGAAAAACGTGGAACCCCAAATTCACTCTGCGGAGCCATTTTGATGGTATTCGTGCTCTGGCTTTCCATCCTGTGGAGCCAGTTCTTGTCACTGCATCAGAGGATCACACACTAAAAATGTGGAACCTGCAAAAGACGGCTCCTGCTAAAAAGTAAGAATATTTTTACCTTATAATAAAACGCTTTAACAACTCTTTCCTGGGCGCAGGGTGGGTGCTGCTGTTGTTTGATTACAGGCTCATTAGTTGTTATGGCCCATTTATTGAACAATAGGAAACTGCTCCCATGTGGCAGAGATCATCATCTGAACTCATTATGTTGCATCACAACACTGCAGTGATTGTCTGCTTTTATATTTATGAATCTAACAGAGCAGTAAATAATGAACCAACTCCACACCAATCAAGTACCTGAAATCTCACTGTTGGTAAATTCAGCACATTGGTTTTAAATGTTAACGCTGTTTTTGTTCACAGGAGCACGTCTTTAGATGTGGAACCAATCTACACTTTCAGGGCACACAGGTAAAAACTGCTTATTATTATTATTATTGTTGTTATTGTTATTATTATTGTTAGGGATTGTCCCAGTACCTTTTTATGACAAACTCATACAAATATAGTATTTTGTTTATTTGCCAATACGGAGTACTCCCTGATACATCTTGAGGTTGCTTATCAATAATCACATGATGAACTTGGAAAGCAGTGCTATATAGATGGATTGTACAGCTCTGAGGGTAATAGGTTGACATGCAGTGCGTGCATAAGCATGGAGTCACTAGAACAGCAAGTTTTTGAGTACAAGCATTCAAATGAATTATAAGCTCATATAATTATTACAGTATCATTCAATCCCTAATTATTACTTATTTTACTAATCTGTTATATTGTTATTTATAATTTATTATTCACTTTACACACTTTTCATAATAAACATTGATAATTCCCTTATGGCACCACAGGGGGGCAGTACTGAGCGTGGTTATGAGCAACACAGGGGAGCAGTGTTTCAGCGGAGGAGTCGACGGAACAATTCAGTGTTGGAACACCCCCAATCCTAACATCGACCCATACGACTCCTACGGTAACCATTGAGGGTCATAACTGTTTGAACAGATGTAAAGGTTTGTGTAATTATACCTCGATGAATGATGCACTGCTGCGTTGATCTTTGCCGACAGACCCCGTTGTGCTGCGTGGGGCTTTGTGTGGACACACTGACTCAGTCTGGGGTTTGGTGTACAGCAGTGTACACCAGCGACTCCTTTCCTGCTCAGCAGACGGGACTGTGAGGCTGTGGGACGCCAACACCACCTCCCCCTCCCTTGCAGTGTTCAACGAAAACAAAAGTAACAACTTTATTACTCTGATGGATTTTTACCAAATGATAGTTGTTACTACTTTGTGTGACACGACTCTCTCTGTCTGAAACTAGAACTGGGAGTTCCCTCCTCTGTGGACCTGGTCTGCAGTGAACCCGCCCACCTTGTCACATCTTTTACAAATGGCCAAATTGGTCTCTTCAACATGGAGACAAGCCAGCTTGTCCTCAGTCTGGAATCAAATTTGGAGCCAGGTACGTTCAGGTTTAATTGAATTCCTTCTAATTATTTTGTTAAGCAGCTTATCCAATAAAAAGCTGTTTGAACTGAGAAACTGGATTTTTTTTGAAGTTTTAAATAATATTTACATTGGAGAAATTAAATTCAAACATGTCAGTCCTGCTGTTAGTTTATATCAAGTTAAAATGAAATCAGAAGAAACTTAGGTCAGTGTTCATGTTTAAGGGAAATACTGAATTAACAGCTACTGAACAACCCAACAAAAATATATGTCTCCTACATGCAGGCACTCCCTGTCAGATCAACAAGGTCCTCAGCCACCCGACTCTTCCCATCAGCATTACAGCACAGGAGGACAGACACATCAAGTTCTTTGACAACAACAGTGGGAAGCTGATTCACTCCATGGTGGCTCACCTGGATGCGGTCACCAGTTTAGCTGTGGATCCTAACGGCCTTTATCTCATGTCTGGCAGTAAGTGCTTGTAATTTAGTTTAAGGTGCTCTGTGCTTTATGCAGCTTTTTCTTTTTTTTTTTTACCTTCCTCCACTTAAAACTATTTCCCGGCTCCACAGGTCACGACTGCTCCATCCGTCTGTGGAATCTGGAAAGTAAAACCTGCATTCAGGAGTTCACAGCTCACAGAAAGAAATTTGAAGAGTCAATCCACGATGTGGCTTTCCATCCGTCTAAGTGCTACATCGCCAGTGCTGGCGCAGACGCCCTCGCCAAGGTGTTTGTATGACACGGAGCTGTGTCCTCTATCCCTGCAGTCCCGCTCTCTGACTCCACCTCCCATGTTTGGGACCAATAGAGACACAGCAGAGGCGGGACTTCAGTCCCACCTCACACAGCCCACTGGTTTCCCATCAGACTGGCAGAACATGCAACCACCAGTCTGAAATGGGCCATGACTATGGTAGAAGGGGGCGGCAGGGAGGCCAGTCAGGAGGAGAACTGCTCTCTAGTCCTCAATCCACCATCCAGGCAGGCCTGGGTGTGAACGAATATAGCGCCCCCACCCCCTCAGACAGTTAAAGTATAACCTCCGTAGATTAGGAGGCTCAGGACAAGTGTTAAAATAGTGCAGAGTGCAGAAATGAGGTTTGGAGCCAGTCTTTCGCCCCTGTAACTTCACACTCATCCCTACTTTTATCGGAGCCTCACCCTCTCAGACAAGCCAAGCTGAGGGCCTTTCCTTCAAGTCAGGTTTTGTGTTCCATTGATACAGAATTGTGGGGTCGCCAAAGGTTCCTGGAGCTGCAGCGGAAGCCTCTCACCTCTTCCCTCTGGACTCTTCTTGCTGGTCTGCCTTTATTTTCCTTTTTAAAACACGTATTGACAAATGTGCCTTTGCTTTGAAAAGGTCTTGAATTTTTATTTTAACAAGCTTGTTTTGGGGGTGAACAGGCGAGGGAGGGAGGGAGGGAAACAGCACAGCAATGAAGCTGATTGTCACATTGTTATGGATTTTAACATTGGATGTAAAATTACAAATACTTATAATAAACAAAATATATATTCAGTCTTAAAATTTACTGTGCAGTGTGGTTTTGAGTGCTCCTTTTTTGGTAAGTGTGGCTGGGGATTCAAGTTTGTGCATTTCAAGACAGAGCTGGTAGATACAGACTATTAACTATAATGCCTGTTTGTTAGATTCAAGTAATTGTACACTTCGCAAGTAAAACTACAAGCATATGTGTCCAAAGTTAACCATCTTGGTTACATGATTACAATGCAGACATGGTTCTAGTTGTCCATTTTAGGAATTACCAATTAATTTTGGCCAGTTTGCTCTTGTTTGAAATGAATGGCTTGTACTGTATGTAGTTTTCCCCAAATGTATGGACATGCTTGACTACAGTGTGATGTAACCTGTTCAGATATATACAGTAGTCCGATGTTTAGCAGGAACTTAGCAGTGCAGTACTGTGGGACTATTCGACACAAAACGTTCAGCACTCGGCGCTGAGGGAAGAGAAACGTCCTGCAGATTCCAGTTTATGCGTAACTGTGTGCGGAGACGGACTGTCCTGGGTTTAAAGAAAAGTGGAGATGTTGTACATGTAGAATACAGCTTCAAATGAGCCATTTTCTCAGTCACTGGTTTGTATATGAAAGTATGTTCAAAATAAAACCTGCTGTAAAACATTACCTGGTCTTTGATGTTGCTGTTTGGCAGATCACAAATGCTGTGTTTCACAGAGAACTGATGTGTCTACGATGTACACAGAGATGCTGTGTTAATGCATGTACATACTGTACCTTTGTTTTGGTTTTACTTTAAGGGCTATCAGTTGAAGACTTAACTCAGTACAATGGTCAATGAATTCATTGGAATATATTATGGGCATATATTTGTATGTATATACAAATATGTAAATACTGTACATATGTATGTGTGTTGGCAGTGGTTGATTCCTTCCTCAAAATACGCTGAATGATGGTCAGTGTGATGTCATAAACCGGACTAGTGGTCTGAGTAGACCTGACACATTTTTCTGACATCTTCAGTGATTTTTGTCTAAGATCCCAACTCTCCGCCTTTTTACCCTCTCCATGCTGTGCAATTCTTTTCCAAGGATGTTACTTAATCCATGAGGATCAGCACTAGTACGAAACAAAACTGAAACAACCATTTTATCTCACTTCATTTTCTTTCATCTTTTATTAAAAATTGCAGAAAAAATGATAAAACATTGATCAAAATCTGAACAATATTAGCAAAGAGCTTTTAATATGTATATTTACAAACAGGTCATGAGAGAAAAATATCATAAATACTCCTTAAAAAACAATAATGGCTGCAATGTTAGGAAAAAAATACACACAAGCAATTGGAAAATCTGCAATTGCTCTGCATGAAGATATACTAGCTCCCCTTTCCTCGATCATCAACCAAAGTTCACTTCCTTGTTCCTTATTGTTGGCTCGTCAGATTCACCTGTTGCCCGAGAGCCATGTTTTTCAACCACCACTTTTATTCTTTTTATTAAATCAGCCACTTTCTCATTCAGAGGAACTTTAACAATGTCCCCACTAACAAATCGCTCCTATTAGAAGGATCAAAATGCACCATTTATAAGACAGTATATCCTCTTCACAGAGAATTGTATAAAAAGCAACATATTAAGTGTACGAAGTATGTGAAGCCAAGAGAAGAAGTGCTAGGCATGCTTTACGTCTACATTTGTCTGCAAGCACCATGGTCCCGTGTAGGTCAGGTTTCTGACTGTTAATCTGGCTGGCAACACATTTTCATAAGAGAACCTTTATTGAGGGTCTATGAATTGGTCAAACAGGCTTCTCTTTCAGGATAAATAATTTTTGCTTTACATCTAAGTCCTTTCTTTTTGTTACTTACAAAACTTAACTTACAAATCAATTACCAACCATCCCTGTGTGCAGTCTGTAAACACTGACAGCTTTTTGTTATGATTAGAACACAGGTCCAGATTTTCTGCAGAAGAATGCCGGAGTTTATATTACGTATGGGCAAAACCCATGTACAATACTAGTGATCTGGGCTTATTAGAAAACAAAAAGAAAGAAATATAAACCCTTTATAATGGTGACTGAAGTGGTAACAACAAATGTTTAAATTTTAAGGTCAAAATGACACTATGGCATCAGAATTATAGTGAGTGTGCAAAATATTGATCATTAGCATCCTAAAGTGTAGGTGGGGTAGAATGTTGATTGACTTAAAGATTGAAGGTTCCACTCAAACCTAAAAAAAACACTTTCCTGTTCAAATACGAAGAGCTGTAGCCAAATTTGCACCACCATCTGGGAAACTGAGTGAGTAAATTTACTATCAGCGCCTTGTTGAGACAGCCCACCATCAAGATGTTCCTCTTTGCACCTCCCCCTCCAGCGTCTGTCCTCAATTTCTGGGCTGTGAATTGAACTCCTGGCAGATGTTATGGATGATCTTGGGCACGTACTTGTAGAGACTGTCGAACTCATCCACAAAGAAGGAGTGCTCCTTGTCAGGGTCTGTAGCGATGTAGTCCAGCTCGTCCTGGGCTGCCCAGGCGATGCCGATGGAGTAGGCGATCACACCTGGATCACAGTCACAGGGAGGGACAGCCATCACGGTTACAGACAGATCACACAGGCCTCACATGAGTATGCTACAGCAAACACTTAACTCAACACCTCACTGTGGACTCACATACAGTAAACACCAGGTTTCACAGCTGTTGCCTGTGTTTTATTGATTGAGACTCAAAGCTGTTAAACTGAGTAACTGTCTCCAATAATTAACTTCCTTTCCAGTTAAGTTTATATGGTGTGCAATGTGAAGAAAATAACATGTATTACTTAATAACAGTGGTCTATTGTTGTGTCAGCTGTTATGCATCAACAATGTGGCTTTGGTTGACGAATATATAAATTATCTTATTAGAGTGGTCTTACTGGTGGTGCTTGGAAATAAAAAACTACCGTGCTGGTAGTTTTATAAAGTTAGTTTTATTATGGTCCTAAAGCAGCGTCGCTTGTGTTTCACACGGACGCTTTTTACCGACGTACAATTTCACAACTGGCGCATGAACCTGAACATCCTAAACTAGAAAACTCTCCCTATTGAGAAGAAACAGAAAGTGTCAAAAGTGTGGGAACATCTGAGGTTGAAGAAAGCCTGCCCAGTATGTAATTTAAAATAAAAGTTGTTTTTAAAACAACGTTTCTCTGTTGGACCGTTTGGTACCCGGTCGGTTGCAGAGTCCACAGAACGGAGCCGACAAATGGTAATGTATACATGTCATTGCAATTGTTAACTAAACAGTAGAACATAGAGAACGTACGCTAGTCGAGTCACTACGTTTAGATAAAGGAAAAGTAAAGTGTTACGTTATATTTTGTCCTTTTTTTCTGTGACTGTCAGCTTCACGAACAGACCGAACATGCGATTCTTTTCTCATTAAACACTAAACACTGCGATAGTAGTTGTCAGTGATGACGTCACACAGTTTTAGTAGAAGTTAAGATATCAGGAGATACAATCGTTTTGTTCATGTTTTGCATTTAAATTATTTAAGTGGTGTGTTCGCTATTGTTATCATAGTTTTGTTGGTGTTATTTCTTGATTTTTTCCCAGGTGCTAAAATATAAAAAAAGCAAATTTGTTTATGAAGAATCAGGTTTAAAACCGAGTTGAATAATTAATTACAGTAAAAATTAAGAGCTGCAGCTTAAAATGTAACAATTGGTATTGGCAGCGTTTTAGTATTTATTCCAAGACTTATTTTCATTATCAGTTGGATAAAACCTAGATGAATTTTTGGTAACATTTATACATTTTTGGTCAATGACTGCTATCTTCTAATCTTTTAAGCACACCTGTGTAAACATTTGTCATTGAGTCTACATTTAAGCTTCCACTGTGACCTTACAACAATTTTAATGTTTGACCTTTGTAGGAAAACAAATTAAGAAATAAAAATAATGCAGTATGATTTGAACATAATAATTAACTTAATAATTTACAGGATGTTTTGTTAGTTTTTGTTGCTAGTTTCTGACCTTTCTGACCTGTAAGCACAGTATACCTGTGTAATGTGATCATGTCTTCTCATTTGACCTCTCACCTTGTTGGTGGACAGCCAGTGAAGGAGCTCTGACATCGTCATAGGAGCGACCATCCGTGATGACAATCATGATCTTGCGTTTATTGGGTTTGGATTTGCTGAAGAGCTGCTCTGCAGCGTAGGTGATGGCAGCACCAGTGCTGGTGCCCCCACTCCAGTAGTTGATGCGTTTGATGGCATTGAGTAGCTCAGACTTGTCGTTGTACTGTCCAAAGGCAAACTCCAGCCTCTGCTCATAGGTGTACTGCACAGCACCGACACGTGTGTCTGTGTCAGAGATCTCAAACTCACGCGTGACATTGGCAACAAAGTGCAGCACGGTGCGGAAGTTACCGGTCCCCACACTGCTGGAGCCGTCAATGACAAAGGCGATGTCATTGGCGTTCAGGCAGGTTTTGCTGCACACCAGGCGATCTGTGTCACACATTCTTTTCACAAGGGGCTGCACAGCTTTCCTCAGAGAAAACCAGCTGGTCACTGGGAGTGAGTAGTAGCCATTTGTGCGACACACAGCCTGTAGGGTAGAGATCAAACTGTGTTTATAACTGGAATGTTTTCAGAAAGCACTGATTCTCCTCAATGACATTTCTTTACCTTGTCAACAAAGTTGGTCTCAACCAGGTTGTGTTTCTCACTCTCATCAGGGCCCTCAATGGTGACAAAGAAGATGTTAATGCCAGATTCTCGAGCGAGTCGAGATGCTTCCTCCACCTTGTCTGTGGGCCAGCCGTCCACGAGAACCACAGCCACGTTAGGAGCTCCTCCTCGGTTTCCATTGGCATCACTGAAGTACTGCTTGTTGATGTAGGACAGGGCCTTTCCTGAACGGACACCAGAGGGCAGCAGAGAAACGGTTTAACAACAGGACAACGTGAGTAGAAATGAATACATTGTATAAAAACAGAAAGATAATATTAGAAATATCTGTTGTGGTTATTTAGAAGTGTTCAGGGTGCTCAAAACATAGGCTACATACCCAGGGCAGAAAATCACTAGATTATGTCCCAACCAGATAAATATTTGCTGTTATTACAATCACTGTTTAATAAATAGGGTGCGTTATTGAATTTTTTGAAGAGTGTCTGAGTTACATCGTGAATAAACAGAACGTATCTTGAATTTAATGTCATACATTGCCGATGGTTTGCATGAGCCATTCCACAAGACTGGGCAAGGGCATACAGTTGGTTTGCTTAAAGAAGGTTTGGGGTATGAAATAAACTGGAAGCTCATGATACAAAAAAGTTGCAACAAGGTTTGTGTTATTTAAACAATGATAAATAATCACCTCAAAGATGATAATTTGGAGGAAATTATTCATATTCTCTTTTATTCCTTTTAACTTATGAATACAATTTGGTAGTTGTTATTATTCTAACTTGTTACTGGCAACGTGCTAAGAAAATTGTGTGCATGCATACAACTCTAAATGTGCTCATCATTGGACAGAAGTCAGTTTGCCTGTTTACTGTACTTGTTTGTTTTATGTTTGTGGCATTTCTTCATAGAAATGAGCAAACTTACTAGACTTACTAAGTAAGCAAAAGATGGGTGGCTTTTAGTATACAGAGTGCCAACCTCTGACACAATAACACTTTTACTGTACGGTTTGTAACATGATACAAAAATTAGCAAGTCATAAAGACACACATGTAGTGGCAGAGTTACAGTGTACTGCACCAACACACCAACTCTGGTAGAATAACGGCTCTTGGTCTCTGAAAACTGACCCCCTGGGATGTTGAAGCCAAAATCTTTTGGCCGGGGGAAAAGGATAAACAGAGAAAATAAAACAGAGCTGTAATTTAGCCCACAGTGTTTTGTAGCCATTTTAGACTTAATTCTATCCTTGCATGTGAATATGTGCCCTGGTTGTAAACCATGCAACAAGTGCATTCCTTTCACTTCACACTTGTATCGTTGGGCATTTACTGTAGCTGGCAGCTAGTAGTGGGTCACTCACTCCATAACTCACTGCCTCCCTCACTCACTCACCCACATTTGACAGGCCTCCCTTCTGCACAATCTTTTCTATGGCCGACTTCACCTCTCTGGAGTTGGAGTAGGTCTTCAGGCTGATCTCCGTCACAGCTTCATCCCTTTAGACAAGAACACATAATGTTCAGCCACAAGGCCTTTCTACTATATTTTAAAAACAGTAACATTCGGTGGTGAACATATTTTTTCGGAGATTCTGTGAAATCTGTTTACATTTAGTGCAAAAAAAAATCCTAAGAAGTATATTTATTTCCAGCATAGCCATACTATTTTGCCTTATTCATTGTGATATCAAGGAATATATTTCTAAAAATTACTGTGAATCATAATTAAATCAAATAATGAAAGTTACGTTGAGGCTTCGTTAATTAAACAGTGATGATGTCATCATTTAGTTTTCCTACTAAATACTTCTTTATGATTTATATCATGCATGTAGATGTAGCTTTATTTTCTTTTACATTCAAAATTCCATCATATTTTCACCAAGTCTCTACAACCACTGGTATGAGCTGCAGCCCCAAACCTTTACAGAGCCGTCCCTGTGATTTTTTTGAACTCCTGGCTCCGAACATTAGTTTCCAAACACATATTTAGGTTTTATTCTTCTGGCCTCCTTCTGACATACTGACAGTAATTCTGACCAAACGTTTCAAACGCGGATTTGTTGCTTTATGACAGGTTTTTTAACACAATACATTTTTGTGTAATTTTGCATAATTATGTAATTAAGCATAATTTACTCATTTCATTCCCCTCCTCATAAACAAAATGACCAGTGACAGTTCACAGAACCTGTGCTTGGTCCCACTATTTCCTTTCATAAAAGAAGCCATTTAAAGCTGTTTTTATTCATATTTGAACTATTTATTTTGTCTTAAATATTTTTCTTTAATTTTCAAGGTGTCTGTAAATGCCTTGATGACTACATGTACAAAGTACACTAATTCTAAAATGACTATTGACTGACTGTAAAATGCATTGCATTTACAGAAAGTTTGAGGTTTTATGTGGTGAATTAATTTATGTATCCAAAATTTAATTTAATATTGTACCTATGGTCTTCAGACCTTTGTTTACTTTTACTTTGTTACCACACAATAGACTATTCTCAAAGGAAATTTAATCTCTGGATGCACTGATAAAGATTGTATAACTGCATCTTTGAACTGTAATATAATTTTAAAATAATTCCAGAAGTATAGTAAGTCAAAGCCTAAAAAAAACAGAGGTGGCCATTGACCAATGAAAATAGGATTAGAGAAGTGACAGTACCCATATTGGATGATGCCCATCATGGGTCCATTCACACCCACATTGATGGTCTGAGCCACATCAGCCAGGAAATCCTTCTGGATCTTAAAACGCCGCTTCCCGATGCTCCAGCTGCCGTCCATCAAAAAAGCTAGGTCCACCTTACAGTCTGCAGAAACAGGAGGTGTTTCAAGTTTGACAGCTCTTGCAGTCATGCGCCGGCTCGAACATTTGTTATGACTTGATATGACTATATATGACAATGTTCTGTTTTGACTTTGCTCCAATGATGAAACAGTTGACATGGTAGGGATTAGATTTACTGACCACATGTGTAGAGTTGTGCAGCAACACATTAGCTTAGGTAAGTCATCGTAGCAATAAATCATGAAGACGTGCAGTAATACAATACTCTTAGACATACTACTTTGATAACATGGTACATACTTTGGTCTCCCTGCGACAAAGGCTCAGGTGCTCTCGGTGCAGGATCTTGCTCCCTCGTGTTAAAACCTACATCAAATTGAACAAACACAATAATTATTAATAATAATAATTAAACTCTTGATTGTTTCAGAAAGGTATTTATGGGCTAATATTTAGCAAGTAATAACAGAAAAGCAATCTAATATATCTATTTGCAATACAAAAAGAGTTTTTTGCTATTGATTGAACACGCAGAACACATCTTTTTTATTATATTATATTGTAAACATCAGTTTGTCTCATGCTTTTATTCCTTGCTTCCATGGTGCTTTATGGCAGCAGTGCTACAGTGTTGTCTCTAGAACCTGTATTACACAAAAGTAAACCCAGAATCCAAATACCAATCTGGTGTTAGCCATATTTCAAATTTATGTAGGCTGTAAAAGCTGCAACGTTTGCCATCTAGGTTTTATAATCCATTTATGAAGTAATGTCTGCGCTATAATTTTCTAAATGAAACCCGACTGTCTCGGACTTCTCAATCCAGTTTTCTTATCTTTTGTGGCGTAAAAGCAGTAAAAACGGGCAAAAACAACCTCAACGTTTTTCTGGTTAAATGGAAATACACTTTGACATCTGTGGCCAACCTCTGCAGGGATTTCAAATGTGAGCCCACATTTGTTGTGGCAAAGACATGTCCCAAAAGAAGATCAGATTTATCCTCAAGCAACCATCCCAGTTGGGTCTGACTTCAATTACAGGCCGAGCTGAAACCCAGAATCTTTCCCTGGAGAGTCGTGCTTTGGTTTGTGCTTCAGAAAAAGAGGAGTAACTGGCAAAGCCACGGTGATGAGAGCCAGGACAAGGGAGCATGTTGCAGGGAAAGAAATGTTACCTGATTCATAAAAGTTTCCATCTGCTTTCCAGGCATCCACTGCCTCCACTGCACAGATGTGATCATACAAACACAGTGTCAGCAGATTTATATTGCAAGGCAACAATCTTAACAAGCTCCACTACTTGTTTACTACCATTACTGTATAACATGTCCAAGCTTATGCCTTCAGCGTGGTCTGTGTAAACCACTGCTCACCTCGAGTGTGGCCTGTTTCCAATGGTATCTTACGGTTGGTGTCTGAGTCAGCGGATCTCGGGGCTAAAAGTAAAGACATTGTGAGACGGTAATGACAGACTCTGATACGTGATATTTGAAACAAAATGTTAACAGACTTAGCGGAAAGTCTCAGCCACTGCCTCTGCCAAACCATGTCCTTTTCAGTTAAGTCCTAACAGTGTCATTAGGTACTACGGTCTATAATCTCAGAGTATGTTTTTTTTTCATAACCTATTGTCTCTCATCAGTGTGTAGCTGCAGTATTATCTATGTAAACGTACGTACTTGTTTTCTGAATGAGTTGAAAAATTGTCACTAAGACCAAAACTTACTTGGTTTAGAATCAGGAGGATTGTGTCCCGAAAACTCCGCCTTACAGTATTATTTAATATATATTTATTTAAGAATATGGCAGTGGCCATTAACAAATGAATATGCATTAGACAATGTAAATTACATTTTAGGCATAGTGTGTATTTTTTAGCAAATGGATTTGGAAGTCACAAGACAATAATTCATAAAACCCCAAAGACTTGTTAGTTTCCAGTAGATAGAAAAGAAAGACACTTACGGTGTGGTCCAAAGTTATAATACCAGCGCTCATACTCTGACATACCAGGTCTCTGATCCCGAGCTAGGGGAGGACGGTATGAAACCCATTAGTCCCTACAATTAACTATAGAAGAACTAGCACACATTTCCACGGTTGTGATTGGTTGCCTGTTCCTCCCAACCAATCTCAGCCCAGTGAAAACAATGGTAAGCCATTGTTTTCATGCAAAATGATCACCCGAGTGTCTCACCTTAATGCAAAATGATCACCCGAGTGTCTCACATGCCACTCCTACCTCACCTCACAGTGATGTCTCATGTGTAGGTTGGTGGCATATGAGTACAGTGTCATGAGAGACACTGCATGTGATTTGTATGAGAGGCTTCAACATTTATATTTTGTTGTTTCAGCAGATAAACTGCAAACAATCTGAGTCAGTTGGACAAACATGCACATGCAACTTCCATTAATTTAACATGTAGTAACCCTAGCCAGTGAAGGGGGGCACTACACACACAACTTTTATGCGTATACCTACAGGCCAGATACTTACCGCTTGTCTCGGGTGTGTCTGATTCACTCCATGAGTATCCTGTGTCAGGACCTGCATGACTGATGTCTGAATGTACAGCAGAGAAGGTGGAAGCGTCAGAAATTACAAACCTTACAATCAGATCTACAATTTTGTCAGCTAATGTATTTTAAGCCATCAGGTCCAACTGCAGGCACTGAAGTAATATATCACTTACTGTGTTTGTGTTGTTCTTTAGCAGCCATTTTATATTTACAGCAATTCCCCAACAAATGTATGCTAAAAACTGAAAACAGTACTAGAGGTTTGGGTCAGCGGTACACTATGTTTTATTTTATTGTCGACTTTAGCATTATTTTATATATGTATTTGAGTGAAGCCTCCATGAGCCATATAATTTAAAAGTAAACCCAGAATCCAAAAACTGGTGTAAGCCAGGTCAGTGATTTCTGTTGATCTAATAAGCTGAAATATTTGCTATCTAGTTCGTATCGTCCAGTCATGAGTTTACCTGTATTTGTATAGTTAGCTAATCAAAATTTGGAAATACCTGTTTGTCGTCGAGCACCAGGGAACTGGTCGGGTCGAGGGTAGGATGGTGCCGCCCAATCCCGTCTGGGGAAAGCTATGCAGGGGGGGGGAATTAAGAAGCTGCATTCAGGACAAGCATCAAGGAGAACCATTCTTGTGACCTCCACTAAAGCTGGCGGCCTACTGGTGGGGTATGCACAAGATGTTCCGCCTTGAGTCAGTCTGTCACTCAGAGACAGTGACTGAGCGTGGTAAGGTTAAGCCAAGTCTGTCTTTCTGCCTGCATTCCGTAAAAGACAGATCAAGGCTGAGTCACACAGAAAATATAAATGTGTTTCTCATTTTGGTGTTTTCCATCCATCTGTTGGCTTGGCAGCAAAACTTATTCGCATATATTCAAAAGTTTTACATTGACATGGCAAAAACACAAGGCAGTTTCTCTGACTCGAACATGGCCAGAGATGAATTGGATTCTACAGTACTTGAGCGGCTGAGAGAAAAACTAAATAACTGAGCCATGACAACACATTTCAGTTAACTGCTCCCTTCAATATAGTTCCCATAAACCCACAGCATAAACCCTAACATTCCTATTGTGCGGCATCCAGTACACAGGGCCCCTGTTGACTGGCCCGTACAGGGACAGCGTGGCCAGCCACCCAGTAGAGCGTGGTAGTATTATTCTAGAGTTAGTGTCAAACCAAGGACAGTGTAGATAGTGGGATGCAGAGATTAGTCTAATCTACTGTTGGTCAAAGGCCCAGTGCTTTGGAGCAGACATCAGTGCTGCTTTTGTCTGATAAAACAGGTGCTTCGAAAGGATCGAGTGTTCTTTCTCAATTTCGGCCCTGGCAGTGATCCTAAAATGTTTGGAAGTAGACAAGTTGGGATGTTTGCGTTTCGTCAGCTAAAGGATTTCACCAGACCTGAAGAGGACTCTTGGAAAAAAAAAAGGCGTCATAGGCGGCTATAATTTCAGAAGGTTTCTCATTTTAATATCTGAAACAGGTGTCCTGAACACTACATTTTTATTTGATTACGCTAAAACTTAAAAAATGAACAACTTTGAAATCCAAGCAAACATCAATATCCCAAACCATTTAAATGATTAGCTTTTTTTTTCTTTTTCTAAATCTAATGAACATTTAGAAGAAACTTGGCAGGCCGTTAGACGTAGCAAATAAACTTCCCCAGAAAGAAGGAATTCCCTTATTGAAACATCTTCTTTGTGTTGAAATCAGATGGATTCTATGCAGAAAAATCATTTCTATTTTATTTTATTTTGACTTAAAACTCTCTGACCTTCACTTGCATGATTAAAGGTGGAACATTTTTCTAAATACAGCTTTCACAGACACTTTGACTCTTCTTCATATTGTCCTGTGTTAGCTTGACTAAATTCTTGACAACATTTACAGAACTTGTAAAGTTGGTGAATTTCAGAATGAGATGAGAGGCTAAACCCGATCGTAACATTTCCAGAAGGGTGGGCCATAACATTGAACATCTGTTTGGGACAGCAGGGTGGCAAAGTGACAGGGAAGAAAACCTTTAAACTCATAAATCAAAGTTCAGTTCTGCTAAAATGTCCTTTAGAAAGACAAAGTAAACGAGAGGCTTACGGGATGTGCAGTGTAGCTGATCCCGACCCCTGACCTCTGACCTCAAACATGAGGAAACATGAGGAATTTCTCTGAGGGGATCAATAAAGTATTTCTTTATTATCCAGAAGCTGCTCTTTGTGCAGGTCAGACATTTCTACAGTGGCATCATGCAGATGAATTTTGCGCTGGATTGAAACAGTTCTGGACTTTAGGAAATGCATCATACAGTTAACTATCATTTTAAGGGACACAGTGCTGTCTTATTTTTGTAATCCTTGGTTTTGCATTCCATGGGTAGAAAAACAGAAGCACATTCCTCAGGGAGCCAAACCTCAGTTGGTTTCAATGGCAAGACAGTCTAGAAAGTGGCCACAGATCCTGCAGAGCTCTGATCCAGATCAAGCATCGCTCTGGGATTATAACAGAGAATTCACAGTGGTCCTGCTGCTTTTTATCTCATCCTCCTTTTCTGCAAACATTTACAAGGAGGGCCAGACCAGATGCTATCTTTCACAACATAGTTATTACCCTAGTGACAGAGCATGTTTCTCATCGTTGGTTTATCTTAAAGAGAATGATGAGAGGTCTTTGCTGTCCAGGGCAGACTGTAGATACCACAACAGATGAATAAAGACTACTGGCTCCACCTCATCACTCATCTCTGAGGAAACTCAACATGAGCGCTGCTCTCTTTTTTTTTTCATGATGGGTACACTGTGAATTGAGCATCTACCTGTATTTCTGTCAAATCTGTAGCTAGGTATGCTCCAAACCCTACCAGTGCATAGAAACAAATGCACACAAAAAATGTTTTATAGTCTGTTCCTCTGTTTGATCAGATCTGTCAGGGAGTGTGGTGCATGTGCAGTTGAAATGCTGCTGCACTAGATCTGGAGGTACTTACCGGGGTTCGACTCCCTCATGGTTGGAGTACGCTCAGGTTGAGCTGGCTGAACCCTGTTGTAAACTGTTTGTAGCAATGAGAAACAGGCAGGAAGAAACAGACGGGGGAAAGGGGAGAGGGAGGAGGACAAAAGAGAGCTTTAGATTTGAGGCTTCATCCACAAGCACAGCTGTTTTGCTTTGAGCGAAGCTGAAGGCAAACCCTGCGCAGCATGATATGGAAAACAGAGACATACATGCTGCTAATCCTCGCAGGCTTTTACTCTGCTTCATTTTATCTTGGAAAATAGAAGCATGAATAAAAAACGATGAGTCGGACGACAGAAAACAGTGGCCGTTGTGAAAGGAATGTCAGCCGAGATGCTTGATGGACTGAATTAGTGGTGACCCCAGGGTTAAGATCACAGGAGCTTATAGGTGTGGACACAAAGGTCAGACTTACAGCAGTCGATGTCTCCTGGATTCTTGTCTTAACAAAGACATCATCGTCACCCCTGAACCCCCGCACATCCAACTTCTACCCTTGACCTTTGTCAGTCACACCTATGGTGCCCGTGGTTTTGTTTTTACGTGTGATTGTGAGATTAAAGGTGGAGGCTGACCTGGGCTGACTGGAGAAGATATAGGCCTCCTGATTGTAGCACCTGGCTCCGGTCTCCGTGGTCCTGGGTCCAGAATTTAAGAAACAAGCATCATGAGATAAATCACAAGCAGATAAAAGACTGCATGTGCTGTTCAGAAATTGATTTCAACATTTATTATATGATAAATGAGAAAGTGAAAACTAATAACTTCCATCTTTTATCAGTTATATGAACACTCCAGCTCTCAGGGTGACCATGATCCAGCTACTACCTCAAAATAAATCTCAATACTTAGTGATACAAAGTAAAAGTAATTTAATAGCCTTATTTTAAGTACTGGCATATCCAGAACATTGTGGTCTGGCTTTGTGTGGTGTGTATGGCAGCTGTGCATATATTTGTCAAGAACAGAGATGTCATGCAAAGTGTGTATGTATGTCAAACAGAAGGAGAGAGAAAGGAAAAGCAGACCGAGCAGATGTAGGGACACTTTCAGGCTATTAAAAAGGCTGAATTAAAATGAAAACGAACGCTTTACCTGCACTGGCACGCTGTGGAAATCTGTTTGGATAGGCACCGCCTCTGAATACTTTGAAGAAAGGTCAAGATTAGGGCAAGTTGAATAGCTGTATGTGGTGTATATCAGTGATTCCCAATCACTGTGCCACGGCACATTATTGTGCCATGAGAGATCATCAAGTGATCTGTGGAAAATTATCCAATTTCACTCAATTGGTCTGAAATCTGTTATTTCCGTACTGCTAACTGTTTGTCATCTTTGCCATCAGATGACTGAAGAAACGAGTGAGACTTTCTTCAAATCCTTTGAGGATATTATTGTGTGGGCAACTGAATGATTTTTGGACAGGCAGAGTTTTCTGTTGTGAAATATGTACCGTGGCTCAGGGAAGGTTGGGAAACATTGTTATCAAGCTTTTCCATGAGATGTACATCAGTGTGACTGCTGACATACCTTGGCCGAGAATCTTTCCTTGAGTATTTTGTGTCATCCCTATACCAATAACACAATGTGGGCAAATTAATATATAAATAGTATTGCAGAACTGGATACCAGTGTTAATACATAGTTTGTTTAGGCATGCAAAAAGACAAAAGCTAATCTTTCCACTTCTGACCTTTATCTGAACTAACTAAAATATGTTTCTTTGCAGGAAAGCATTCTATAATATGTATAGAATAAAATAGGGTCAGTGAAGTAATTTTAAGCATTATGACTATAAAATATTGACATTGAAATACTAGACATGTTTTCCTAAACCAAAAGACTGGATATAATGTATATAAAGGATTGACTTGTAGGTTATCTTTGTAAATATATTGTTCTACTGTTTTGGAAGTTTATGGATAAAGGCAGTTACTTTTGACTGGATTTTTCACATCAAGAAATATATGGCAGCTGCAGTTATCATTAAATAAAATTTCATTTTTATTGATCCAACACACACGCAGATAAGCCAGGTATGTGGTTTTTCTGAAAATCAAACCCAGGACTACTTGTGCTCTGCTTTAAGGCGTGTTACACTAAGGAACCATTAGGGCATTAATATTTCATAAACTTAAATACCTAGTGATATAACACAGCCCTCTGCATTCCAGAAAGATTGACTTTAATATGGTTTTAAACTACATAAAATAGATTTATATTCTATTTCTGCATGTAGAAATGACATCAAGTGTTCTCTTTGTTATATATAGCATACCTTTAAGCTACTTGCCACACAGATACACTCAAGTTAAACCCACAAAGCACAACACAGATGACCTCTGTTGGCTTGGCTTTACTTACTTGAGTTTGTGGATGCCACAGAGGAAAGGTACGGGTGACTGCTGCCTAAATAGAAGAAAGACAGTATGGAGCGCCGATGTGAAGAAAGGGAGATAATATTACAGAAAATGAAGGAGGCAAAAATAGTTGGGAGCTTGTCTGGCACACAGCCAATATTACTGCACACATGCCTTAAGATACTGCAACATTATCCGACCTTGGTAACTGCAATTTTATCCCGATCTGGCAAATGGCTCACGATGATTACAGTATGATGACGTTTATATAACTATACACTGATGAAAGGTCTGGTACTCCAGTGTTAAATCACTTAGTCAGCTGTACAGCAAGGTACTAACTCATGGGGCAGCTATAATTTGTTAAATTTGTAGCTGCCACTTGTAATTACCAGCCCCAACCATTTGTCTTCATCACTCATTTTCATGCTGATCCTAGCTGAAAGCTGCTAACGTTAGTTTGACTTCAACTGAAAACCGGATCTTTTTCGTGAATTGGTTTTACTGGATAATTTACAGCGTCCTGCATCCGAGTAAAGACACAATCCTACACTTACGAGTATACAGTATGGATCCAGTGATTTAGAGGTACAAAAACTGTGTGAATAAGATACAAGCGTGTTTCACCTGCATCCCTGACTTTGTGCACAGCAGCTCGAGCTTTTGTAGTGGTGGGTGGTGCTGTAGTTGTGGTGGTGGTGGTGGTGGTTGTAGGGGCCTGTGTCGTGGTGGTGGTAGTCGTGGGAGGTTCAGTTGTTGTTGTTGTGGTTGGTTCAGGTGCAACTGTCGTGGGCATAGGTGTGGATTTGGCATCCTTCTGACCTGGATGGAGACAAGGGAGAAAGTCGATCATGACTAAAGACAGACGCGCAGGGAGACACAACGTCACTGATAACTGCTGTGTTACAAAGCATTCTTCAAATTCTTCACCCGGTGACATGGCTTTAGCTGCCATTAAACCCAAAAGTTTAACATACCAATGTCAAGGACAGAAATGTCAATCTGTCATCTTTTCTTGCAGCAGACTGCACATATCAGCTGTTGTCTACGTTTGTATTTCTGGGTCATATTCTACTGTACCTTCCACATTTAGCGACACTTTTGTCTGTACAAATACTTTATCCCAGGCAAAGGCTGCTGTTGCAATACAGTAAAAGTATTAGTCATTAGTTCACAACCCGTTTTGGACATGTGGCTTTTCTATGTGGGCGTCTCACCATATGAACAAGTGATATTTTCTGTTTGTCCAGTGTCTCCGAGCATGTTTCCAGTAGATTAATGATTATAGATGACAGGATAAAGTGGAAGCATATGAATAAATGGGTTTGCCACAGTAAAAAAAACAATAGCTGTTATTGTTGGTTGTAACTGTAAAATGTAGACATAAGAAATCACAAAGTCAGTCTTTGTCTATCTTCCTTGTTAGACATGGACATCTTTGAACTTTGTCAATTATAGGTGTGTGTAATAGACAACAACAAGTCACAACAGAGATATGTTGATAAGGCTCTCCTTACTTGTCTTGACATAGGTCGGTCTTGAAGGGACGTAGTCCAGTGTCGATGGGTAGATTACTCCTTTTTTAGGCTTCCCCACTAAAACAGATCAGAGCAACTGTTATCTAAAAAGGCTTTGTCTGTGACAAAAGGTAATTATTCAATCATCAATACCTGAGACAACAAATGACTCCCTCCACTTTGGTAGAGACAGCGAGCGTACTCCATTGGAGTTGCTGCCTTTATAAATATTCTGTCCTGCCATCTTCCTCACGATCACCTTTCCTCCTGAGTTTGTGATGACACCGCTGTAGACATTTTTGGACACTTGCTGTTAATATTTATTTCAAACGTTCTGTGTCACAATCATCACCCCCTTCTTTACCTGTGAATGGCTGCGTTGCAGATGCTGGAAATAGAAGCGAACACTCCTGTACCGTAAACCTGCTGCTTTGTTTCTTTACAGTGTGCAGGGCATTTGACTATGAACTCTGGGAGGTTAACCTTCCCTGCTCTGACATCGCACTCTATCTCTGGAACAACTGCAAATACAAATAAAATCAGCAGTCAGACACAATCATAATCAATAACTCTAAATTGAAATGAAAGGTTCAAACTCTCTCTTTCTGTCTAACCATTTTTCATTGACATCTTCAAATCCCATATTCTTTTCTACTTTTATTGCGTTTCCTCTATCACAGGTCACCTGACTTCTTTTCTACCTGCTATTTACTCTCACCATAATTCACATCACTTGCAATAAGACGTTCTACTAAGAACCGTTGCAGTCATGAAGGATTTCAGGGCCCCGGACTGATTCTTTACCTTAAACCCATCTGTCATTCTGACTAGACAAAGTTGTATTGAATTATTTTTAGATATATATAAATATATGATAAGCTTGTTGCATTAATGAATGAATGAATGAATTTTGTGTAAACAGAACAACCACGGTAGTGACTTTGGTACAGGGGCTGACGCAGATTACAGACATGAGTGTTGTTAAAGTCTACCTTGCTTTGGTTTCTTGTTCTTTGATCCGTTGGGCTTGGCCCAGCAAGCACAGGATAGAAGCAGTGCTGCGGGGGAAAGGAGGAGGTAATTTCACATAATAGCAGACAAAGAAACATAATAAAAACCTGTTTACTGTACACAGGGCTTCTTTGAAGCACGACTCTGTACAGAAAAGTGACTGTGAAAGTGATGTGTTCCAGCCTAAGGTGAAGTCAGACTGGTGTGCTCCCTCAGAGAGAGTAAGAGACAGGTTACTAACCGAGGAAAAGGGCAGTGAGTGATGCTCTGATCATGATGAGTGTGGCGCTGATTCAGCAGGTCAACCAGATGTCTCAGAACAATCTCCCAACCTTGGAGAAGAAAGAGAGAAGAGAATAAGCAGAGTTCTATTGTCATCTTTTGATAATAATTTCCTGCTTCCTGCTTACTCCCTGATGCGTTAGCTTTTAGGTCACCTATTCTGAATCTGTCAGCTGGAGACAAAACAGAAAAGCTCCCACCATTGAGGTTTTTAAGTAAACAGCAGGCAGCCTGCGGACAAAACTGTCACCAGGAATAGAGTGATTCATTACATCGGCGTAGTCAATATAATCGATAAATAAACTTTTTTTTGGTTATTGTAATAATGGTAATAAAGTACTTGCAGCTTACAGCAAATAAATAACTCCAGTATTTATTATTCCTTTAGGATTACAAAGGGACAAAGTATTTGCCAAAAGCTTAATAGTCAACATCTGGGTTTAGTGACAGAAAAAAAAAAGATTTCTTCCAAATTCTCCCACTCATATCTGTAGTGTAGCTCTATTACAGAGTACAAACAAACATTAATTAATAAGCAGGCTGTGAGAATCTGTGTCAGATGTCATTTTTGTCTGACCCTAGTAACCACAACAAGCTGAATTCATGTTAATAATTCAATCTGTTTACAGTTGATACACATACTGTATTTCTTCTTGGTCTGTCATTTTATTTTGAAAATAAGACTCATGCAACGACATTAACCAAACTCGGAGCCTGTGAAAACATACGGGTCACTGAGCTGCAGTTCCAGATGTGGCAGGTCTGTTGTTGTTTTAATGGTAACTCTTGTGATAATTGGTGCAACATGTTCTCAATTAAGACACACGGAGAAACTCTCATTACACAGCATGGATGACGGGCATCTTACATGAGCCACTCCAGGGCCCTGTTGTAGACCAAAGGTGGTGGAAAGAAGTGACTTTCTATGGAGCTGATGACTGAGGCCTCCCTGTTAACAGTGGAATGCTGTGCCTCCCATGCGGGCGGTGTCACGCCAGTCACTGCTGCCACACACCAGCAGGTTCAATCTGATCAAGTGGAAGCCTGTGATCATACAGGAACCTCTGGATCAGGGTCAGATGTGATGTGCATTTCTGGGTCACATCCATTATGTGTCAGCAATATAACACTGAATTTCTGAAAACACCATTTTGAGAGGATTAAACCTGGTTGAAATGCAGCCCTGCAGCGATGTAGCCCAGTAGGTTAATCCAGGCCTCAAGGTGGAACTGCACTGGGCTTTGGTCCAGTCAATATAAAAGGCTGAGGGTTTTCCTCAAACCAGCTGCAGCTGGAAGCAAACATGCACGAATGCCAGGAATGATATATTGTTGCACATTTCCAACTGGTTCAGTTTACATTAACAAAGGCAAATATACCTATAAAAGTCTTTACAAGGAATTTCTTTCATCTTTTTAGTCAATATAATCAAAAGAAAGTGTGCGTCATGGAGCAATCTGTGGGTTTGCTGATACATGATGACTTTTGTCTGGGACTCCTGAACCAGGATTTTGTTAGATTTGCTGACTGTTGATCCAGTACCATACCTGGACAACAATGGTGGTTATTCTGAAAATATAATCCACATCATTTATGGCAACAGGAAGTGACAGCTACACTCAGGACGTCTGAAGTAGCTGCTGCACCACCGAGAAGTGAACAACTTAACCAAAGACACTTCTTTAAAGACACAAAAACAGTTAAAATTTTACAACTTCCATAAAGAATGTGACCAAAATGATAAAGACCACGCTGCAGAAGTTAAAGTGTATTATAAAACCTACTGCCACAAATTGTAATTGTAATCCGGTACCAGAATCACCACTAACTGGAACTTGAACCGATGCTGATGGTGAGTCTGACGACTGCCCAGCAGAGGAGATGGTGATTCAACTTGCTCTTCCAACACATTCTTTAAAAGATGTGTCTAATATTGTGGTGCAACATAGGGTCCAGACAATATACTAACAATGAAAACGTGTCAGAAAACAACACAGTTGTAAACATGCCCGCAGTAAGTTATATTTATTATGCGTCATAAACCTATTAAAGGTTTGTAGCCGTCATTAGCTCTAAGCTAATTATGTATATTGTGTTGTCTCCAACAGAACATCAGGCTTTATAGTTAATGTCATGATTTCTTATTGTTATTATTATATAATTCCTAAAATGTTCAAATGTCCTTTTAGGACCTTTTTGAATACTAATTTTAATGATGGATGCTACCCTCTGTTGTGGAAGGTTATTGTTTGTTGTTGTTGATGACCTAGAGGCGCGTGACAATGTTTTTACAGAGGCAGAAGTGTTCAATAAATCATGTTAAAAGAAAATATAGCCCTGACTGTAAACAAGTGCAGTTGCCCCATGGGTATTTTAACATTGTCCTATCTGGTGGCCCATGTCACATGATGACATTGATCCTCACTCTATCATAGGTTTACTGTAATTACAGTATGCCACAGCTTTGAACAAAGACAGTCCCTGCTGTTCTTGGGTAACTTTATTTATGCCCTACATAAACGTAGAATACACAGTTACGAAAATAAATAAAGTCGGTTGCAGTACCCGATCATTACCCCGAATTCAGTTCCCCGGATTTATCTGACATTCATGAGCACTGACGTGATTTTTTTCCAACGTGTTGTGCTTTGACAGCCAAGTGTATCGCTGCTGCACAGTAAGAGCTAATATTCGTTCTTGCTTGGTTGAAGAAGAAAAAAAATGTCTGAGGTTGCGAACAAGCCGGGACAGATTTGCACATCTACATTACAGGAGACAGACGTGCAGCGGAGGTGAGGCAAGTCAACGTGCTTCGCTGAATAAAGCAAACAACAAGCTCTGCATTCACCTGCGCAGAATATCTCTTGTAGGAACCTCGCTGTTTGAATGTGTACAGAGGCAACTATGAATCATTTAACGACAGACATGGTAGGAAAAATTAAAACCTGCAAAAAGAGATTACCCTCAAGACCTCTTCAATTGTGTTGTCAGAATGAGGCACCAAGACATGAAATGTTGGCCAAATGATATCCTCTGACAAACACTACTTTTTCCAAAGTATATAAAACATCCGGAGTGGACACCCGCCATCTATCTTCCACACGCAGAACTGGAGTGAAACATAGAAAACCAGCCAGGGCTGGACTTATCACATTCTCGCATAACTAACCAGAAAACCCCTGCGTGTGTGAGAGCTTTTAGACTCCCCGCCAACATAAATCACCAACAGGGCGGGTCACGTAATGCGTTAGGTTTGCGTCTTGTGCGTTCACCTGTGTTAGACCTTGGCTGTACAATAGCACTGTCTCAGCTTTTCCTCCTGTGGTGACAGCAGTTTAGTGTTTTCATTGTGACTATTTCAAGCTTCTAATTTGAACAGGGTGGAGGCACAAATCACACTAATTGTCTGCGTGCTGACAGTAAACTATGAAAATGTGTACAAAGAGTGAACAAAGTGATTTCACGGTGCACAACTCCAAGCCCTAAGTGCTTCAGGGACCTGGTGGCTCAATCATATCGTTTTAGGAATAAATAGTAGCTCGGCTCAGGACAACTTTCTCACCATGAGGACTGTGTGGGGAGCCCTGGACAGATGAGGCCGCGTTGCGTGAAGAAATGCAGGGAAATTAACATTTTTAGCTTCTGCAGAATAATTACAACATATTTATGCAAGCATAGCAAAAGTCTGATAACACTGTAGTAAAATTACACCTGGCAGGGGCGTGGTGGGAGAGGAGGTGGGCTATAATGCAAACAGGATGTAGAGTGGTTTTCTCTATCTATTGAAAGACCAGCATACAGTAGACCCACAAAGCACAGGTGGACCACGCACACCTGTTATGGCTGTGTTATTGTCAAGGTGTTTTTTCAAAGCACTGGTGTGTTTTTGTATCACCCCCAAAAATCAATAAAACACTTTCTGCTACAGAACACAGCTTATCATGGTTTGGTTTATGTTTTCAATGGAGTGATAAAGCTCCTAACTTATTTAGAGGTTTACAGCCAGACAGATCCCTAGGTACTCAGTGCCATGGTAGCCAGTTGTGGAAACACTGTTGTGGTTAGACTGTGATTCAGGTGAATCTGGCACAAAGCTATTTTTCCCACCTAGAGGGCAATCTGCAGTCTGTTAAAGAGAAGGCGTCAGCGATTTCTTTATGGAAAAATGCTTTGACTGAATAACCTGATGAGCTTTAATTAAAACATTATCATTGTTTTCAGACAGATTCACCCCCCACCACCACCAGATCTGTATTTACTAGCAGTAATTATAAATTTCCACATATTCCAACTGTAAAAATTTGCCCCTGGTCTTTGGGAAAACACATTAATCTCTTTTTCATCAAAGTTGACTTTTGATTCAGTGTAGTAGACTTAAAGTGACATGCACTTCCAAGCAGAGGACAAGGACTGTATTTCAGCTTTTCTTCATTTCAGCAGCAGCCACATTCCTTGCCCAGGGTTGCCTGTGAAAATGCACTGGGGCAAAGCAGTGCACTGCAGAGGACTGGGCCAGAATGGCCTTATTCATAGTAGTATCAAACTACTTGGTTGGTAGTGGTGAATCCAAACTACTTACTTGATTTCACCACCAATCTATGTCATAGTCTGCCTGAAGGGGGGCGGTAGGGATAAAAACACATGTACCTGATGCCAGGAAGTGTCAGAAAAGCACTGTTAGCAAGTCAGACGTGCCAAGTGAAGAACCAGCAAACAGATCAGACACAGGAAAGCCAACATGTCTCTGCAAGGTCATTTCTGATGCCTATTTATGCACAGAGCAGACTGGATTACTTTAATTCTTGGCACCATCTTCAGTGCAAGCCAGAACATGTAGTCAGCAGCTGGACATATTGTATATGTAGAGAGACCACCTGTACTTCATTAGGCTGTGTCAGACCAACACTCAAACGTCAAAAATAATGTAAGGAAATGAAAGGGAAAAAGAAGAAGAATTTAACGTATGTGGTTTTTACGTGCACGTAAAACGATTTGTTAAAAATGAAGCAAAAAAAAAAATTAATATAAAAAATAGGCTACAGTATGATTGATTTTGACAAATTAATTTAAGCAGGAAAGTCACCTCCAAGAGAGCAAAGGACAAGAATTTAAAAATGGTAATAGCCTACACAAAATATTCATTGCGTTTTTTGGCCACTCAGTCAGACCTCACAGGCTCAGCTAAAATGAAACATGAATTAAACATGAATTAAATAGAAGAGGAGTACTTGCGGTTTGCGTTGGCTAAACTAGTCCATGCACCTGACTTTAAAACAGTGCGTTTATAGACGCCACTCAGGCGCAGTTTACGCACCGTTCAAATTGTGAATTCACGCCACGCAGTAGCGAACACGGTAACCAGAGTTCACATGTAAACCCGTGTTGTTGTTTTGTGCTCGTGGCCATCGTCTCGGTGCAGCAGTGAAGGTGTTCTTACCTGAGAGAGTCAAAAAATATTCCTTCAGGCGATTCAGTGAAGGTAATTCCCTGCGCTATTTCCCTGAAAGGAGCGCGGGGCAGCAGGCGTGTGGAGAAAGGCTAAACTGTTCCACCTGGACTTTTACTCCTGACTGATCGGAGGAGCGCTCATTAAAAGTGCAGAACGGGACGGGGCCAGAGTTCCCCCCTCTTTGTCCGTCCCACTTCAGACTCGCAGCCCTTTTACGCGTACTGCAGAACAGAGCTGTTCCATCAATGAGGATGCAGGGAGCTGGTACCCTGCAGGAGCAGTGACGCTATAGACATCTATATCAAAGTTTAAGAGATTTTTTTTAGTCAATTTGGACAGAAATAGAATCAGCGGGTGTTTGTATGGTTCTTGGATGCCCTCGGGTTAGGTAGTGGTTGTTGTTGGGGTTTTTTTCTACATTAGCGCTCGCAGCTGGAAAAAGAACCTTAAGCAACACGTTTTACAAGCCATGGTTTATAGCCAATAACTTTCACTCGTAATCTAACTAATTCTTTTACTGTATCATACAGCAAAATAACAGGACAAGCAACAACTGATTAGAAAATAGCCACATTTACTCTAAGAACTTCAAGGAACTTTATTCAGACTGCGTTTGTGATATTGGTATCATTATTGGTATTATTATTGTGTAAGTATTATTATTTCATTGTTTTATTATTACTGTAGGACAGGGGTCTCAAAAATAAGGCCCAGGGTACAAAACCGGCCCGCTTGGGTCTTCAATTCGGCCTGCTTGATGAATTGTGTTCAGGATATTTGTTCTTGAATTTTGTTCAGGATATTTGTTCTTGTTTTATTCCCTACCATTGCCAGAATTATAGGAGTGTATGGAGACGGTAGTCCGACACTGTATGTGGTCTACCTTCCTTCAACTTTCACCACTATAGTACACTGGTCACTCAGTTGTCAGTCTTTCGCTGCTGGCTCAAATGTTGTTCTCCTGAGGTGCATTTTTATACCACATTGGTAACAGTAGCTTATTTTTGTCCTCAAAGATATCGTTCTTACGGAGGAAAAGTTTTGAATTAGCTCAGGATTTTCATCTACACGAAACAGTAAGATTGTGCCAGCTCATCATGGCGCACATAGGGTTTTGATGATTTTTTTTTTTTGATGATGCCTAACAGTTACACTTACATATACCCAATTTTACATTGCATTACATTTAGCAGATGTTTTTATTCAGGGCGACTTACAATTTAAATCTTCGATTTATTAGTTATAACTCAAAGCTCTGTAATAATGTTCTATTGTTATGGCTGAGCCTGGCGCAGTACGACTGATCTCCAAACAAAAAGTGAAACAAAAACAAGTTAAAAAATGGCAACAAAAACATGTATGGAAAAAGATAATAGTATGTGTGTTGTGGAAAATAATAATTAAAACACCTCAGAAGATTTTTTTTTAAACCCTCACGCCTGAAGTAACTAATTATTGTTGAAGTTGCTGGAGAAGAATAAGAGCTTAGGTGTCAAAGTTACTCATTTGGCTTTCAACACTCCTATTAGCCTAAAAGGATGGAAAAGAAAGTTCTTATTTACCACACCCATGGGTTAAACACTTTCAATGATCACAGAACCGCCCTGGTACAGTTAGATAACAACGGTCTTTCAGTCTCTTATGAGATGAATGACAAAATTACGGTCCGTTGCATTAGACATAATGACACACCTCGATAAGATGACACACCTCCGCTGGGACACTCTGTAATGGAGATCTGATGGCACAGCTGCCCTTAGGGGCATCACGGGGTAAATGGCTATTGTACAACTTAGTTGAATTGAGGACATGACATGACATGAGTTTTAGACGCTGCAGTAGAAGTGACCTGAGTGATTTAACATTTCTGGTCCAACTTTGTAAGGATCCTGGCTGTATTCTGCAGTATTTGAACACATTTTTTGGATTTAAATCAATCCAACGTTTGTTTGTTTTTTGTTAGCAATAAAAGGTATTTTCAGCTTTAAAAGACAATGTTTTATTGATACTAGTTACATATACATTAGGCTAACATGGGTGAGATCAAAAAATACAAAAATATTCCCAATCTTCCCTTTAATTTAAAGTGACTGTTCTAGTCAGTGACCTCAGAGCCTGTCACACCAGTACTCTGATGTTTCGATGTGCGATGGCATGTCAATGTGAAAAATATCCTGAGGATCAGTTGGAGGAGATTGTGGTGGGCTGTTGACGCCGGAGTCGCTGTCAGGATTGTCTTGGTTTAGCTCCTTCTTCTTGTAGCTGGGCTCCATCTTCTGAACAGGGAGCGACGCAGGTGCAGCCTGGGCCTCGGCTTTGGGTTTTATGTTTTTAAACTGTTGCAGATGCACAACCTCCCTGCCTTCCTGTACGCATGGCAGCAATAGAGCGACATCCTTACGGAATTTGGAGCTCATGCCGAAGTAAATGAGCGGGTTGTAAAAACTGGCAGACTTGGCGAAGAGGCGGGTGATAATACTGGTTGTGTTTGGCACATGAAAGCCCCACGAAGACCACATAGACACCACTGCATATGGTGACCAGGCCATGATGAAAGCTGTACAGATTACAATGGAAATCTGGAGGGGAACATAAGGGAACAATTGTAGGGAGTGGCATTAATTTGATGGGCTTTTTAGATAAAACAAACCTTTTAAACGTATTTCCAGTAAATATTTCTCACGGTCACCTACCCTTGTTACATCTCTTTCCACTTTCCTCTGGCGGGTGGTGAGCAAACCATCGGCCGCCATGGCGTTTGTGCTTTTCACTGTGTTTATAATGGAGATGTAGGAGCACAGCATGATCATCACCGGGATGAAAAAGCAGAAGATGAGGATGGAGATGATGTAGGATTTGTGGATGGTGGAATAGTTGGCTTTGGACCAGTCCACCTCACAGGTGCCGTAGCCTCTATCTAAAGCACAATATAAAGCAAGAATTTGATTTGTACAGTTTGAAGAACATCTGTCACACGTGTGATTTGACAGTCTACACTTAAGTCCTCACACTCACTGGATGTAACAACATAAGTCTGCACAGATTTTTGATCATTCAAACATGTCAGAAACAGAATGTAGGGGACAGTCTTGAATTGTGAGATAAACAAAACAACTACGTATACCAAGAAGTTCAGTACACACACCAGGACTAGCTCCTCCTTTTAATCACACATAGCAGTCACTCATAAGTCTACGTCTATTTCCTACATACACTCTATGGTGAAAACAAACCTGTGTAGCTGCCCCAGCCCATTAATGGAGCAGCAGACCAGAACATGGCTCCAGTCCATATACAGATAAGTGAAATAGCAATGGTGTTTATGCTGACACAGCTGGCTGAAAAAGCACACAACAAGTAGCAGAACACAATGGAAAAATTAGCATATTTGTCAAACAGCTCTTTGTCTGTGTGCAGTTTAAAAAGGTTAAACGTTCAGACTTTGGCAAAAACGCGGCACAGGAAAAAGGGAGAGGCACTCGAATGATCAGCATTCTTGACTTTTTATGAAAGTCAAGATTGTGACATTCATTGACAATGAGGACCTTTGTTATTTTAACAGCCTTTGCAAACATTTGGGAATAAAAAGAAACCCTATTGACATGGGGCTGACAGGGCAATAAAAATTGGTTTGCTCTACTTCCTACTAGGACGTGCATATCTTATGTCAACAGAGCTTACAGTATATCCCCAGTGTTATTTCAATGGCGGGATTGTCATATTGTCGGTGCATGTGTTGTAAAGGGCAACTAACCTTTCACAGTTTTGACTGAATGATTGATTGATCTCAATTTGCTAAATAGATGTGTTCTGCTGCATACAGCAGTGGATGGTTCTCCACGTACACCATAAATGTTGATGGTTAAACAAACCACATGTAAAAAAATCCCAAAGATTTATATAAGTGGGGTTTATGACAAACCACAAAACATGACTAAAAGCCACACTAACAAAAAAGGCAATTGCTGGGTGTAATTTCCATATAGTTAAGACATTCTTCAGCGTCACTTGCAGCTGAAAATATAAAATGTCTCGAAAATTAACATAATATGTTGGCAAGGGAGAAATTGTCATAGATAGGTGGTAGTTGTTTCCAGGGCTGCAGCAGGTGATGAGGCTTCATTTGCACCAAAAACAGACCTCAGTCAGATAAGAGCTGCAGGAATGTGAGGAAGCGAGACGAAAAGGGCTGAAGGTTCCTGCATGTGCTGCCAGCTCATTTCAAAGAGTTCAGCTCTGACCTTTGCTTGGGTGGCATCCCTTCACATATCTGGTAATGCTGATAACGGTCAAGGTGTTGATGCTTGCAAGGCCAAACAGCAGGGTGAAGAAGCCATCCACCTGAAGAGAGAGAAAAAGAGAGAGAGAAATATAGAGATAGAGGGAGTTCATATTTTTAAGATGCTGGATATTTCTTTGCAAGTTCATTTTAAACTACTTGCCCAGGGACCCAGTGGCATGTAGACTTAGCAGAGAGAGACACTAATCCAATCTACCTAAAGATCTACAGATGTGCCTTGGTTCTGCCTGATGTGACTTCCTGTGATTATAGCCCTTGACTGTATCCTAAACCAGCAGTTCTCTCAGTAAATTATTATTATTGTTTTTACAAATGCTCACTCATTTTTTACGTACGCACCCCACTTTGGGAATCTCTGTCCCACACTGTTTATAAGGAGTGGACATAGCCATCTGTTACAAAACAATCTCCCACTTTTGCGCAGTGGCTTTTTTTGTCATTTTAAAACCATTTCACAGCACAGATGCCCCCCTGCAACTTGACCCCTTGGACAGTCTTAGCTGCCCACCACACACTGGTCTAACATACCTAACCTCTTTGTACCTCTGTGGGGCAGAGGTCTTCAATGTTTTGAGGCCAAGGACCCCCAAAAGTGATGGAGAGATGAAGCAGGTTCCCCTACTAGATATTGATTTGCTCACCAAACTTTAATGTTTTTTTTTATTGCATCCCCTGCTGGCTGTCATTGGTCTGCAATGATAGAAAACTCTAGGTAAGGTATTGTGTCATAAATCCTCATTTTATAAAATCATTTTTTTGGTGTGTTATTGGAAGCGATTCTGTGTTTACCAGAGTGGTTATTAGTTCTCTGCTGCTTTAGGCTTTACCTTTAGAACCCATGGCTTCTGGGATTTCTTATAGAGTCTGTGCATTGAAAACACTGTGTGTCCTGGGTGACTACCAGCCTTCTGCTGTGGCATTACCAAGCTGATGGACAAAATAAGGTCTCAGAGTGATTACGTTTTTGACCTTACTAAGCCCTAATCTCATTATCATCATGTGTTTCACCCTCACGTTCGGCACATTACTGGACTTTACCTACAACAACAAAACTATTAAAAAGACAATGGCATGTGACATGTTTGACATGTTTTTTTTCTGTAAGCAAGCAAGCTGAAATGTAGTGTGCGGTGTTAAAACGGTATAACCTTGAATTTTGTAAAACAGCCCCTCCCTATCTTCAATTTGCATATGATAATGATCTGATGTATTACAGTCAAGCTGGATTTTGATCATTAAAAATATGGAGCGATATTTGGAGCTGTTGCAAAGAGGCTGAAGAGCCACATGAAGTTCGAGAGCCACAGGTTGCAGACCTGGGTCTAGACTGATAAACCAAATCAGTAGCGTCACATTGTACATCCTTGTTTAATTCTGTTCCTTGGCCACAACCTACCTTCCCTGAAAATTGACTCATCTGTTCATCATGTAGGCATTGTCAATCACATTTGAAGCTGATTCAGTGGTGCTTTCATTTACAGCTTGCAACAGTTCAAGTCCCATCATGCACCGCTCATTAATCTGTTAATGCCTCTCACATGACGGTCTCCTACAAGATCTCTATCCTCTCTTTGTTATTTTTGTCACCACCCACTTTTCCTTGTTCGCCTCTGATGCCCCTTCTCTTAACCTACTGATCTCAGGAATTGGTGAAATAAATTTTGTTGCTTGATAGTTTTTCTCTTCTTCACGTAAAAACCTGAGACATTTATTCTCTGGAAGGTGAAGGATATTGGAGCTCCACTAATACCTCAGGGCAGCTCCACCACTCGCATGTTTGGAGTTTCACTCCTGAGACTGAAAGTGTTTTAATAACACTGGCTTGTTTTCACATAGTCCTCAGAGTTCACCCAATACAGCACGGTTTTCACTGCACCTTGCCTTGAGCAAGGAAAAAAAAAACCCTGGATGAATCCCAACCTAAAGAATGACAACTATTCCAATTCACGCTGTTGCTGCTGGGGAAGAAAAACACCCAAAAGAAACACATATTTTAGAAATTACTGTCAACAGAATGTTTTTTTAATTTTAAACTCATTATGTGTCAAAATTCAGTAATGTAACAGCTCACCACACACAACCATTCCCAACCGCACTTTCTATTTGTTTCCAGTTTGGTTGTTGACAGGTGCCACTCAGCTGGTTACTCCCAGTAAAGGCCTCCACAGTAGTAATCTTATTACAGATTTAACCTCTAGCCCACATGTCTGACTGTCTAATCCCCCCATACACATGCGCGCACACACACACAAAAGCATATGTACGCGCACACCCAGTAGGACCCACATGAGTTTGTCTGCAGGATTAACCTTGATCTCAAACCGACAGTATTTGGGCAAACGGTGACTGGTCACCACTTTCTATCCAGTTAGAAAGCTCTATACACACAATGAAAAATGAATGTGAAAGCTGAAGGGCAAGATGAATATTATTCAGTATAAACAGTACATGTGTAAAAGCAGACAGAGCAGCAGGGTTACATGGCTCGTCTTACTCTTTATCTAACATGACGCCTGGTTGGTATCTACTATGACGTCTCCAGAAAGGCACACAGTTGGAGACATGTTGAAGCAATTTGGTTACCAACGTGTATGACAGCAGCTGAAATTGAAATGACTCTAAATCCAATGTTGATACAATGTTTCAACCAACAGAGGCATGCTTTCTGCCATGAACTCTTTTTCCATTTAAAACGCTGGTCAACCTTTGTTTGGACTTGTTTAAGTATTGTTCAAGATGCGTTTACAAGTCTCAGATTTTCTGTTGTTGTAGGTTATTTAATCTAAATTCTGTACAATAGGTGTACCTGGCAGGTCCAGATCCATGTGATCAAATATCCATCATCTTTGAAGAGATTGAAGATTTCCAGGATTCCTCTAGAGTAGCCGAAAATTGAGATGCTAGCATCAGAGATGGCAAGGTTCAAAGTGAGGAAGTCTGTTGGCTGAAGTGAAGCCCGCTGTCTGTACAGGACAAACATCACTAAACTGTTTCCAAACCAAGACAGCCATCCTACAGAAAGAACAAACACCACACTCAGTGCTCCTATATTTTTAGTATACTTTAGGCATGGTACTGTTTAACTGACAAACACCCGAAAAACCACTATATCTTGGGTGGTATGACAATCTCAACACAAGTGCATAGTAGAGGATAATATGGTATAGTATAACAAAGCATAGCATAGTATAGTAATATACAGTACGGCACAATATAGTATATTGCGTTGTATAATGAGTATTACATTACTTTACAATACAATACAATATTACAATACAACATATACGTATTACAATTTTGTACAATATATTTCATTGCATGACAACTTTATAGAAGGATATAAAGTAAAGTATAGTATGGTACGTTGTAGTTTAATGTAGTATGGTATAACATAGTGATAATAAATACAATATAGTGTCCTAAAGTATTTTAGACTGTATACTATGGTTACCCATTGTACAGTACACTATAGTGCATTGTATAATGACAATAATATTGGAAGGCGTTGTGTATAGTATACTTTTATTATATTATAGTATAGTATAGTGCAATTAAGTGTTGAGTGGAGTATTTACACGGTGAAGCGATTAAGAGATTTGACTATAGTACTGAAGGAAACAGTACTGAGCAGTACAGAAGGCTAGGATCTTTTTTTAAGATCTCTTCTTTAAGATTTATCCTTTTTCTTGAAGACAGCACATCAATATCTAATGCCTTCTTGTTTATATTTCCGTTGACCAACCGAACAGCGTCTTACCCAACACTATCAGGTAAACTCCGATGATGGTCTCTCCTTGTTCAGACAGCGGTGGCTCTGTATGCAGAGTAGTCAGGTTATTATTCCTCCACGGAATATTCACCACCTTCAGAGGAAAACTCTTAAACGTTATTTCCATGGCTTCTCTTTCAAGTCCGAGTCATAAATTCCAGCTGTCCTCTGCACTAACTCTGTCCTGTCTGTCCAGCTCTCAGTGGACACAGTGAGGGATGACCAGTCCCTTCATTTTAATCCAGCTTAGACACAGTCTATGCCTAATGTCCAGTGTACAGTTGCTGTAATCCCATCAGTTTTTTAAAACAACCAGGCAGCAGACATGGAAATGTCTAAAGTCGACATGTAGAAATCCTGAATTTCATTATGAATGTAAGGGTTTAGTTTTACATTACAACTGTAATAATAACAACCATTCAGATTTATTTTAATTATTTTTTCAGGAATACTTCATGTTATTAAGATGATTTGAAACCAAACTCATTCAGTACTACAGTGATGTGTTACTTGATCAACTGTATATTTGAAATTATTATACGTATTATACGAACAATAGTTTCAATAACGTTACAACAAATGACTTTTTTCCATCACTACAGTCTTGATAAGATGAACCCAAAAGTATTGGTAACTGATGATCAAACAAGTGTATCTTCATCTATCTGAATATTTAAATACAGTAACATGATATGACAGATATATAGTATATTTGGCGACACATTATACACAGATTTGACACAGATTTGTCCCGTATCTTGCAGTGTTGAACCACATTTGTTTGTTTTAAATTCTGGGCCACACACCAAACACACATTCAGCCCAAAGTTCTAAAGACCTAAAAATACAGACCTGTCCCATTTTAGTTGATGTCCAGATGTCACATCTCCATGACCCCTGCATACTTGATGGAAAAGGCTAACACTTGTTAGCTAGCAACTGGGCCACATTTGCCACTTTCCATGTGGGCAACTCTAGGCTAGCATTCACTTGCCAAATCAATGTCCTCAGCAAAATTGATGCCATATATTTGCCATATAGCCTGATCTCTTATTTGCATTTAGACCAGTACAACTTTTAAATAAGTTAAAATGAAATTGATTGAATTAGTGATTTAACGCAATCATTTTTTTTTTAGTTTGTGACTGTGTTAATGACTGTGTAACCTGTGCCTCGTCTCCAGAGACATGCTGTAGGTTTTTGACCAAACACTTCCATGTCATACAGGTGAAGCCTTCACTCCTACCAGTCCTTAATTTTGCTAAATGTTGTAATCATCTAAATATGCACCAAGGCCACAAGTATCTTACTGAAGTCAGTGTGAGCTAATGTGTACTCTGACAGAATCCCTGACAGTTTTGCAGCACACGGGCCTCTTACAGTTTCCCGTGATGATTTACACGTTGCAAGAAGGCAAACCAAGTTTACAAAAATCAGGGAATTACACAGTGGTGCAGTTTTCCCCGTCATTTACCAAATCATTTTGTCTTGTGGAAATTTACACTTGCACAATCATTACCCTTCTCCACTTCACACTGAGCTTCTCTGTGGTACCAAGCTTACCGAAAGGGAAACTTGACCCGCCCCCTCTCACTGTGTGTTTAGGTCACAGTGTAAACTTTGTTTCGCTCCCCTGGCTGCCACAGAGGAGCTGCGGCTCTCAGGATGTGGAGGTAAGGCTTTCTCCTGCTGCCAGATGCCCTGGTGCTGCCCAGTCCTCCTCATCAAGCTCTTTCTTTCAGCCTCTGAAAGCCAGTCATTAGAAATGGGGAGACATGTAGCTTAAGGAAATGTGAACCTCTGACCTCAACTGTCACCCATCCAGCAACATACACTGAGCCCAGTCATGGGGCACCCCCACTTTTACTCAGCGAACCCTAACAACACAGCTACACCTTTGCACTGAGTCCTGGCTGTGAAGCTCACAGTGACAGCTGTGACCTGACGAGTGTTACTGGTTGAACATGGCCATGATTACAGTACAAGAAATCTGCTCATGGCAAACTCTGTCAGATGTTTGGGTGTTTGATTTTACTGCAGTAATGATTTCACTATTTCTAATGAGGATTTACTGCCTTATTGGTAATTCCCTGCAATTTGAACTAATATTATGGGCACGTCTTCATCTCAAAATAGATCTGATAATATAAATCATGAGTGTGGACTTTATAAACTGCTGGGATTCTGGCCACTTCAGGAAAGGGGTTGTATCCTGTGACATGTTCATGTTTGTACTTTCTACATGTAAATACCTACATCCAAGATCAGCCTGATGTTGCCATTATTTGAAGCCGAATAAAATAATGAGAAAGTACAAAGAGAGGGTAGAATCCTGGACAATCACAAAACTACAGAAATCCTGACACATTAAAATAATTGAGGTAAAGGAGGATAAATGATTATATGTTTTTTATTTACTTGTTTCATACATCAGACTTACAGAGTTCCATGACGGTGAATAAGTATCTGTGCTGTAGTGAAGCTGCCTCTAAGGTGCTCACAGATCCTGACAGTAAATAGCAGCTCTGAGGAAATGATCACGTCTAATAATAATTTGAAAAACAATGTAATTTTCCGTTCTGCTGACAAAGCTACTGTACACACAGGTCTGCATCTTTGACATTACTTTAGTCGAGCATGTCCTGCAAACAGCGCCACACTTAGGTGTCAGCGTGTTAGAGGAAGCCATGCGGATCAGATTAAGTCTATCCTGTGAGCCTTTGCACGTGTGTGGGTGTGTATGAAGCCTGGCATTCACACAGTGCAGTCACACAGTCACAGACAGGCCACTGTATCACTGGGATTATGATGATTTCTCTCTGTCTCTCTGTCTCTCTCCCCCTCCAATCACTCTTCATTTCCTTCATTCTGTCTCTGTCTCTCTGTGTTGAGTGAAGCCTAGGATGTGAGGGTAAAAGCTCACCTTTTTCCAAATGGAAACTTAGACACAGATACTATTATGGAGGTGTATGTTAAAGGCTATGCGCTGTCTGAGGGCAACAAAGCGTTGCTTCACAGAGGACGTACGCCAGGTCAGGCGACCAATACGGGCTCTGAAAAAACGTCCACACACTTTCTCCTTGTCACTAAATGAGAGGCACATGGGCTACATGTATGAAGGCTTCGCACTGTGTGGTGGTAAATGGTTTACTTGTCACTCTTTGGGTCAGTCTGTGAATGATTCTTAGTGTAATGTAGCCATGTTTTGTTTTTTTTTTTCATTTAAAGGCACCGAAGTTTGGCTCATAATATATTTGGATTTTCTGATTCTTACCACATTATACTGTAGGTTTGTTATTTTAATGTATGCTCTTTGGGGGAGTTTGGGAGCCTTTTGTTGAGTCATCATTAGGCATTTGCCCCTTTTTAAAGAAGCTTTGCAACAATGTTTATTTTTTACAAATATTTGCTCAGATAAAAAAAACAAAAAAAAAACAAAACAAGAAGAAGTGATGATTCATAGCCCAGTACTGGTCCCCGGCCTGGTGATTGGGAACCATTGGCACTCTGTAAACCCTACTTGCTTTACTCTAAGGTATTTTTATTTGAAACATGCTAAATACCTTCAGCGTAATTTCCAGCTGGTCTGCAGGTGTATATGGCACAAGTCCAGTAACAAAACCCTTTAAGCCACATGTGTGTGCCTACAACATGTTCACACCTCCATCCCAAAGGTTCAGGTCTCCCAGGGTGAATAACAGTTCAGAGTTGAAGAATTCACTGTTATTTAACAGATGTCCAGCTTTCATCTTTCCTCCAAGCCTGAAGTTACGATGCCTCATAAGTATTGTACAGGACATAATAACTTTCCTATGAATGTAATTAGTTTTTAGGTGGAACCTGGAGGTGGTGATAATTTTACTGGTTAATCTCCGTCGACATTATTATTTGGGTTCAGTCGGGTCCACAGTTCATGCAGTCCATTTACCACAGACACAGAGACTGGTTTGTTTTTTCCTTTTCACTTTTAAACCAGGCTTTAATGAGGTCAGTCTGCACATCAACAGATTGTTGGCTAAAATACATATTTATTCACAGCAGCTAGATGATGTTAGAGAGTTTTTCCCATCTGGTTGAGTTGTATAAAATAAGCTGTACATATTTACACGGCGAGTCTTATCACCCACAAGTACATTGAAGAGAATGGAGCTTCAACTGTTGTTAAAAATAGGTTTGGAATAATAACTTATAATGGACCCTTTGGGAAAACTAACTGTATGTTTCTGAATGTAGCCTCTGTGTTTTGACTGATGTGAATTGGTTTTGTGGCTTATGATCTTCTGGCTCTGAACCACATGTAAACATTTATTTGGGCACTGGGTCCAGGTCTGCAGTGTTTCTTCCACAGTCTGTTTGTTTAGGCAGGTAACTTATGTAAGTGAGGTTCATCCAGGCTGGAATGCATGCTTTTCCTGAAGAGAACGGCACATCCACCTTGACTTGAGGGGATGTTTTTTTGCAATGTACTCCTGAGTTCATATAGAATTTGTCAGCATCTGACACAAGACAGGTCATGTGCAGAGTGTGAAAATCCTGATACGCAATAGTAAAAGGAAATGCTGCAAATCCTTATTATTTGGCAAGCAGGTAATGGAAGTAACAACACAGAAGGACATGAATAACTGTAGTAGTACATGATGATGAAGATATTGATATTTTCACTGTAACACCACGAACATTTGAACTTTGTATACATTTATATGCTGTATATGATTGTATATTCAACTACCAGAGCGATGTTTTTTGTTGTTGTTGTTTTTCACCATAGCTTTGAAAACACAAGTAAACCTGTTTCAGCCTGTGAACTTGAATTAATGCATACCTCTTGAAATAGACATGAATTATGCCGGAAATAAAAATGCCGAAAATAAAAATCCTAGATCCTCTTGAAATGTGGACACATTTGCAAAGAACAACGTTAATGTTCCAAAAGCAAACTAAAATGCACTGGTCGTTTATGTTTATTTGCTCTAATACAATGCATATTTATGCATACACTTGGGTATTTGTTTTTACTAATTGACTGCATTTTTGTTGATTTACAACAATTTTATTATTCTTGGCAGACCTAGATTCTCAGATCAATCGGAGAATTTAAATCAGTTGGGCAGAGCTGATGGCGACAAATACATTATTTCTGTAAAAAGCAAGACTTTTGACCATTTGGTGATTACACAGACTTTAGAAAAGA